GCTTATTTTGGCTGAAGAAGTGTATAACAATTGTCCTACACGAGTCGCCCCCCAAAAAAGTAGTTTTTTATCAAATATTTCCTGATGACAGATTATACAGGACTAGTTTTTTGAGGAGGTAAAAGCAGAGATTGTGTGAATGCTACAAGAGGCTACAAGTTTTTAATGGAGTTAGAACATAAGAAAATAAGGAGTCTGCAATAGGCCGGTTGGCCTGTGCATGGCAGCTCCTGTCGAGAGTTACTACCACTCTCTATCATCCATGAATCTGTCTAGCCTCCTTTTGAAACTTTCCAGAGATCCAGCACTTACTACACAGTTGCTAAGCTTGTTCCACTCGTCCACCACCCTATTTGTGAACCAGTTCCTGCCTATCTCCTCCTAAACCTAAACTTATCCAACTTAAACTGTTGCCCGAGTCCTATCCTGCTCGGATATTATAAGAACTTTATCTATATCCCTTTATTGATTCCTTTCACCCACTTAAATACTTCTATCATATCTCCGCACTCTTCGTCTTTCTAGGAATGCAAGTTAAGTTTCTTTAACCTATCCTGATATGGAAGGTTTCTAAGTCCCGAATCATTTTCGTCATTCTTCGCTGCACCGACTCTAGTGAATTGATATCCATTCTATAAAAGGGCACCAGAACTGAACCGCATAATCGAGGTGCGGCCTGACTAGCGCAAGATATAGTTGCAATAAGACCTCTGCACTCTTATTACTTACACTTCTAGATATAAAACCCAATACTCTGTTTGCCTTATTTCGAACATTAACGCACTGTTTTCTAGGCCGTAGGTCCGGCTTTAAGTACCCTAGGTCTCTTTCACAAGTCGACTTCTAGGTTGATGTTGTTAAGGCTGTACACATTGTCAGTATTTGTTCTTCCAATATTAAGTACGCTGCACTTGCTGGTGTTGAATTTCATTTGCCATTTTTCAGACCACCCCTGCAGTTTATTTAGATCCTCCTGTAATGCATTTGCATCCTGCCCTGAATTAATCTGCCGCCCTATTTTGGTGTCATCCGCAAACTTGCGTCACAGCTGATCCCAGTATCTAGATCGTTTATGTAGATTATGAACAAGAGTGGACCTAGTACTGACCCCTGGGGAACCCCACTGGTTACACGGCCCCACTCAGATTTAACACCATCTACGCTGACCCTCTGCGTTCGTGAGCCATGATTTTATCCAATTTAAAACTTTCCCTCGATACCATGAGCCTTAATTTTTCTCAGAAGCCTCTGATGCGGTACTCTGTCAAATGCTTTGCTAAAGTCTAAGTAAATAACATCGCAATTTTCGTCATTATCTACTACCTCGAAGACTTCAAAAACGTCAGCAGGATCTATGAGAGCAAATAGCAGTCTGTAATATGTAGATGCCGGAGGGGGTGATGGTGGGGGGGCTGACCTGATCTGACTACGTGCAGTAAGTGAACCGAATCTTGCTTAATGACAACAACTTTCATATAGTGTGTTACGTCATACCCTTATTAACCACCTTTGTCAGTAGTCATTGTGTCTTGATGATTACCTGTGAGTGAATGAGTGAGTGAGTAAACAATTTTCACCTCTGGGTGCCGGAAATCGAACCCAGGTCACCAAGTTATCCACTGGACCACTATGGGATTAATATCTACATATCCTTAATTACTTGTAACACCATGTCCCACACCTACCACTGTAAGCTTAAAATCTAACTCTCACAAACCTAACCTAACCTCCGACTTATTAACCTACATAACGTAACCTAACCAGAGAGTGTCTAGACCACAAGTTGTACGCCACACCTGGAAATTAATCGTCCTCAGGCGGTCAAGTTCCCCCCCCCCCCTTAGTGAAGACGCGTGCATACATCTTACAATGTTTCAGTGCAGTTAATACAGTATAGTACGTGGATGATATCTATGGACGTCACTGGGGCTCCAAGATGGGGATCACCTGAAGATTAGCCCCCTAGCTTACTTCACCTGATGAGTAAACACCCTAATTCTACCTGGGGGGGGGGGGATTATAGTACGTTCAGTTAGATCGGATTAACGTTAGGGTGGGTAATCTTAAGGTGAAATAAACTAGGGGGATAATCTCCAGGTGATACAAGGATTGAATGAGACTACCAGAAACAGGTGCGTCCTCTCACCCCTCCCCCGTTGATGAGTAAAATTACAGGTATGTAGAATGGAGTGAAATGGCCAGCTGCCGTGAGCCACTACTGGGTCTGTTGCGTCATGTTGACACTCACTTCAACCCGTTTTATCTTGTACACATTATCTTCACAGTTGCTTCACTTCATAGGCAGTGGTAACAAACTCCACCTCACATGTCATTATCACATTATTTTCCTATATATAATTTTACTATCAGTTGAACGTGTCATTTTATTGCATTAAGTTCAAACCTAATTTATTTTACTTTCTTAACTCAAGCACTTATATCTCTTACACCACATTTAATCATTGGTTCGAATAATTTATAAATACGTAATGATTCAACACTTACTGTACGTCTACTGTACCAGCAGAGATGATAGATGAGTCTCCCTAGTGGCGGCGGTCACCACTACACCTTCAATAAAGAAACAGATAACAAGTTATTCATCTTTTCAAATGAATCTTTAGTGATCTGACATAAAGTTATTTATCTCAATAAAATATATATTAATATTCATCGGTTAAACTCGTACTTGGAATTCCGCTTCCCTACTTCTGCGTTCCGCCTTACACAAGATGTAAGGGGTGCCCAATAAACTAGCCCTGTGTGTGTATTTGGGGGGGAACAATCTGAAACCAGAATCTGGTATGCTTAATTAACCCTTAACCCCACTAGAGGAGCGTCACCTAAGTACTTCACCTCCCGTCTCATTCTCTAATCCCCGCCATGACTCAGGTGCACTACAATACCCAATATGTGTGAAAATACCAAGCGACGATGATGACAGTACACATCCTCAACCTAGTCCCACTTTCACCCTGAACCAGTTTCCCTCTTCCACAAAAAACCCTTAAACGCTATTTCACTCACCCTCCATAAAACGCACACTCTGGATAGTAATCAACAGTTTCACATTTATTCCACATTAATACTTACCATATTATTTATTTTTCTACACTATCATATGTTTTTGTTCAATTCATAACTAACACAAACAAGTTCTCCTCTAATAAACTTTGCACGGGTGTTCTTTAGCGCAAAAACTTGACACACACACACTGCTCCCCCACCCGAACACTGTTTTTGCTACGCCTATAATTCTATAGATCCCTACCACACTGACCTTCCCTTTACTCCTAAGGTCGCTTCTACTAAACTGGTCTGTCTAAAGGATGATACTGTAATCATAATACAACAAATGAATAACATGACTTCCAACCTAACCTAACCTTACATATTTTGGGTATAGTTTACTGCGGTTATGAATAGTAAACGACATAAAAATGAAACCTTGTAAATCATCATATTTGAACTAATATCCAATAAGTTACAACCATAACTACAAACAAATCATCCACCAACTCTGTTATTTTTGTATCCTTAATTACAAACAAATCGGACACGTTTATTCATTCTTTGTTTACATTACTAAAACACGTGTATTATCGTGACTCATGTGTAATATATACTGTCTACCTGCAGGTGACCCCAGGAGATGCAGGTGACCCTAGGAGATGCAGGTGACCCCAGGAGGTACAGGTGATCCTAGGAGGTCCAGGTAACCCCAGGAGACGCATGTAAACACACCTCCTGAGAAACACCGAGAATCACCATCTCTAAAACCTTACTCGAATTCAAGGTCCAACTCGAGACCACAGTATACATGATTGTCTTCTCCAGCCTTACTCAAACCAGCCAATATCTCGTCCTTATGAATCAGTGACTGTGATTGGTTGAAAATCATAGATATACGTATGACTACATATTCATATTGTCATATAGATGATACATTAAGAAACAATATAAACAATAAATGATAAAAAGATGACGCATTAAAAAAGGTAAAACGTAAGTCATTTTTAAAAATTCTCGTTTATTTTTATTATGTATGAACAAATTACAAATATCACTGGGAAGTACGTAGAGTCGATGTGGCGGCAACTGGGACTATGGCGTCTCCAGAGTACGTAAACATTAGATGAGGCTTTATCACTGGGTCAGAGCGCAATAAATAAAGCACGTAATTACCATATTAAATGCGGTAATATTTAAGTATCCAGGATAACAAAGATAATATTAAGTGGTGAAGCAGTTTAAATGATTCCTATGGCAATCAACTAATAACAGAACGCATGGGTGGACATTTTACTTAGAAAAAAGGTAACTCATACAGTATTTCATCACTATCAAAGGTAACGTAATTTTGTCTCTCAAGTCACTATCAAGACTTTTATACAGCTGTGATGTAACTCCTCTGACGGCGACAAGCCTACGTCCAACACCCACCTCATCATTAAGTCCTACAAGATCAACTGGTTTCATCAGAACATGTGGCAAGAGCTCCTACTGGATATTCTCTAAGTAGTCGTACCTGAGTGTGTGTGAAGTTAGTTTAAATTTATAAAACAAGATGATAGACACAAAGTGGCATGAGTGATAAAGGCAGTGAGGTACATTAAAGTGATCCACATAACTTAAAATTGGATTGACATGTAAAATATCTAAACTATCAGCCTCTGAAGACACTCAAAGTTAACGTATAACGTTAAGTGTGTGAGTGCGATCAATAACATCCTTTCCCACCTATAACAAAAACAATCTACACTGATAGATAGGGAATGCATGAAACATTTCCAAAACACCGAGACTGACCAGTTGGCATTTACACACCAAACTTCGAGACATCAGACTATATACTGAACCTTTTTAAACCGTTGTGCAAATTGGGTTTTCTAAATTTAATAAAAATCAAAATAAACTATCAACAAGAAAACATGAACCTCATAAAAAATTATTGACATCGAAACTATAAAACCGAGAATGCAGTGTAATCGTCTCCGTTTTTCCCGGCAGTGGGCGCGGGGTCAGCTGGCAGTGTGGTGGCGTCGCGGCTGGCTGAAGTGAGCTGGTGGAAGGTGCTGGTGCTTGAGGCTGGAGCTCCCCCACCCCCGGAGACCTACGTACCCGGCCTCGCCTCCTTCGGCTACGTCCGTGGCAACAACAACTGGGATTATGTCACAGAGCGTCAGTATCACGGCCTCAAGAACTTCGAAGGCCAGGTACTGACTGTCTGAACTGATGTGACTTGACCGCACACACACACACACACACACAATAAGCTGTACATAAAAGCAAGAAATAAAGATAAAACTACCAAAAACGCCATTGTAACAAAAACATTCATTTATGCCGGACGACCTTGAGATGAATGACCTACTAAGACACCACAAGTCACACCAGAGCGACAGACACCTGGCAGAGGGTGAGACAGGGGCCCCAACAGACAGACAGCCGACTAAGACACTTGATATAACAGACTGTTGACGATACTCGCCTTAACTCAAGCAGTTTATTGGATATTTCTGAATTATTATATATGATCAGGCTTGAATACTGAATTGTGTACTGCCACTTACCAAAGTATACAGCTTTGATCTTGGTAACGTCAAGTACTGTAACTAATTGGACAAGATATTTCCGTGATATATTGAGAGTAAGTTATGGTGACCTGCTGACCTTCGTAACCAAATTAGCTAAAAATCTGTAACTGCTGAACCGTTCCTGTGTTTCATTATGTTCAGCCCAATCATCTTAAGGTACTGATTTGACAAAAGGAGTTGATAGATTAAAGGACATGAATAAATAACTAAGAACTGTTTGCTGCGTTAAAAACTTCCATCAGTACATGCACAGTTAATCGTTTAGTCAAGAAGCCCTCAAAGGACTGACTCATACTATCATAAACATCAGTTTTTTTGGGTGAAGAGTTAACAAACACGTCATCACTGCTCAACCTTTAAACCTGTTCTCCACTACATTCATCAGCGTGCGATCATCCCCCACGCGCGGGTGTTGGGCGGGGGGTCGACCACGGCGGATGCTGTACGTCCGTGGCAACAGGCGGGACTATGACCACTGGGCTGAACTTGGTAACGAGGATTGGGACTACAGCAGTGTCCTCTTCTACTTCAGGAAGGCGGAGAACTTCCTTGGTGACCATATAAGAAAGTGAGTGATGTGTCCAAAGTTTCACAGTGTCTTTATGATAAAATTGTTCCAGAAACACACATAAAAAAGGTCAACACCAGACACGTACTCATGATCAAACAATAAAAACACTCGGTGGAAGAAATACAGTAAGTGTAGACGAAAGGCATCTTGGTATCAACTAGCAGCCTAAGAAGAATATCCTAACTATATCGAGGCATTCAATATCACACGAAACAAAAAATAAAAAACAAACAAGTCTCGTTCCCAATAACAGCAAGTTTTTAGTCGCGTCGGCAGGCTGTCACGCGCCAGTGCAACCAAACCATGTAGTGAAAGTGGTGCTTCAATTCTCGGTTTGCTCATACAGTTTAAAGCGAGTTTGTGGTAAACCTCGTCGGGTTGTGGTCGGCGTGTGAACCCTGAAGGCACTTGAAGGTGAACTTTGAGATCTTTCGAAAACACTGGTTATTATTACACTCCCCAGATTAGCCCCACTGTTACAAAAGAAAAATAATTTATTTAGCTAAAATCCGTCAAATGACCTGTCTGGTCTGTAAGTTTTGTTCACCTCTAATTTTCAGTCAAATTTGTTTAAGCTTTGTCAAGTGTCTCCTCTGCCCAACACTTGGAGCTCTCACACTCAATCACAAACTTGCAGCATTTGTATATTTTAGTTAATTCAGGTTAAAGGTCATGATCAAGGTAAATAACATTATACACATTCTTCCTCTCGATAAAATTTCACATATTAAACACTTCCTTGTCTGTGAATGGAGTGTTTTAAGATTAGATGTTTCAAAACTTGACAAATATAAACTTAGTCCCAATGTTCTAAATACAAACATCCACACATCACACATAAAGAACATAGGCACATTATTAAATAATTTTGTCTTAACTGCAGAGCTTTACCACGGTCGAGGAGGCCCCATGGCGGTGAGTACCAAGGCTAACCCCGGCAACCTGTCCCAAGCCTTCCTCGCAGCGGGACAAGAACTAGGCTACAAGATCATCGATTATAACGGACCAGAGCAACTAGGTAAGACGAACAGCAATGAGGTAAATTAAAAGAAGTTGGAATGTAATGCCAACACGTAATAAGTAAGGCTCGACCAGTTGATAAAACAAGAGTCAAACAAGGTTCGATTAGACAAATTTTGTGCGACCTGAAAAGTTGGGTGAAGTCACATTAGTGAGTCAAACACGAACAAGGGTAATGCACACAGGCACAAATTACTCTTGTATAAATACCACACACCCAAGGACTTACGAATACGGCATCTGCCTTACACCACATATAGGTAGGTAATGCCCGGATCACATTCTGTAGTTACTCCTGTACAGTTGCGGGAATGTTTCTACGCCCCCGTGGTAACCCGTGTCTCCATACGGCACCGCTGCTGTAGTAGTATCACTGTTCATGAATGAATGGGTATTATCGTGTAACGACGTACGTGATCAGTGGATAAGTTTATAGGTTATATAGGTTGGCCGTTTAGAGACGGATTACCACAGGGGGATAGGCACACATTTCCACAACTGTACCACTACAGAGAAATATTACGGAGGGACACGCATCCTATAATACTCTCCCGCTCCAGATGGTTGAAGGAAAATTAGGTAAGACTGGAGCTTTGCGGTAAGACCCGCCCGTACTGGTTACGTACGACCCGAACATACCGGTTAGACCGGAGCACTTGGGTAAATCATGAATCATTCCGAACAACAAAAAAACAAATAAGACAAAGTGTTTGTTCATATACGCCCTGTATGATTAGTTGCGGAAAATCATACAACTTAAGCAAGAATCGAGCATCTATTATAGACCAAACAAGTTGTTACAAAACTCTAGCAGCTGTGCAAGGGCAAAAAGACCTTGGACTTCTTAAATGAAAGTGAATCCTTAGGGCCTAACACCAGTGTATATGCAGAACACTAAACACTTAAGCCCGTTCACAATAGCCCGTTTTGACGGTCTTCTCTGACGTCATACAGCCTTTGATGACGTCATACCAGCCTGTTTCTACATTAATCATCGACACGGGCGAGAAAAACTATTTTTATTTCGCCCGTTCAGATGAAAAGCATTGGTGCTCGTATGTATGTCAAAATAAATGTTGTTCAAATATTCATATTAGAAAAAGATTCAATACAATGATAATAATACAGGCATTTTTTCTGGAGTTTGCTTTCCTCCTCTTACCAGTTAATACTGTATTCACATTCCGTGGAAATGAATTTTAACCCAACCTAACCTTAATGAATAATAAACAAATAACAACTACCTAATTAACTAAACAAATGGAGTATCCTCTCCATTAAGAGTCTAAATTCATCACGAAGCGACCTCTTAGTTAGTAATTGTCATAACCATTCTCTTTTAGCTAAGGCCCCGTATGTAGGTGCGAGGAAGAAGTACGGTTGGCTACACACCAGCGTTTACCATTTAGCGTTGCCAATCCTCACTAGGGGATCAGCTGGGATATTACAATGCAGAATAACACTTTGACAATACCGACGGAGCAAAAGGAAAATGTGGAATTAAAAAAAATATATATTAAAAGAACCTACCCTATCCTAATGTAGTTACTGCGATACAACAACGGTATATTTAGGTTAGTTTGCCCCAGATTCTTGCTCAGCCAGTAACCCCCGTCAACAGGTTTATACAATGCTAATAGTTATTTTAAAATATTACAAAGACTTAACAAAACATATTGATTTTCGTGATGATTGATCCATTAGTTAGAATTTCCTTAAGTACTGTTCTCATAATTATCAGGTTCGTGGGAGTAACTTTACTGTTATGTAAAATAAACAAGTGAATTGTGAGTTGCACTTCCAGTTCAGTTGTCTGGCAGGTTAGACAGTTAGTAACGACTACGCAAATTACAGTGTTATTTCAAAATTAATATTATAATAGGAATTCTATAGTATTTTAATTAGAACGGGAGAAACGGCCATTTATTATTATAGTCTCTGAATTGAGTAGCCGTCTTTTTCCTTTTTATATACAGTAAATTAACGGTAATAAAGTCACAGGAAAAAGTCAAATTGCTAGGAAAAAGTCAGAAAAAGTCAAAATTTGGCTAGGAAAAAAGTCAGAAAAGTCACATTTTAATACCATAGAAATACTAATTAAAGTATAAATGTATTTAAGTCGCTATTAACTGACAACAAGGTTAGTGGTTAGGTTCGGTTTTCAGATATTGACATCAGTGATATCAGTAATATTTGATTTAAACTGATCTAATGTAAGAGACAGATACTCTACAGTATCTATGGTGTTAAAAGGAAATGTGACTATTTTTCCTGACTTTTTTCCTAGCAAAATTTGACTTTTTTCTGACTTTTTCCTGTGACTTTTTTACCTGGATTCGTAATTTCATACCAGTCGCATATAATTAAACACTTACCTAAACACGATGAATTGTATATGATTTTACTGTATCACCTAAAATCTACAAAATTTCGTAAGGATTATCTTTGAAATCTGATTAATTTTATTACGACTTATGTAGACAAATGTTCTGTTTAGTTCCGCTTTTTTATTGCAAGACACCTAATGATGGCATGTGACCGATACATTTGTTCAAAGCATATAATTAAATCTGTATAGAAAGCAAGGGGAAAGGTATAAAAAAAACTGCTATAAAAAATACTGTAGGTGCTTCAAGGGGAGGTTAATTATGATAAAATACAAGAGAACGCATATCTTATTTCCCCTTCTTTAATCAAAATAATACGCCCCATCTTCTTGTAGGGTTTTCAGAGCCATACTACAATATAAGGAACGGTTTACGATCTTCAACTGCCGAGGCTTACCTAAGACCCGCTGCTGCCTGGGACAACCTCCACATCCTGCATGGTGCTTACGTCATCAAGGTAGACTCACACCACCACACCACCTTAGTGCCATCATGGTGGCGGTAGACACACACACACACACACTCCTCTACACCCTACAGTACCACCACAGACACACCTCTACACCCTACAGTACCACCATATATAGACACACCTCTACACCCTACAGCACTACAGATAGACATACCCTGCCAATCTCTCACAGTACCACCATATAGACACACCCCTACACCCTACAGTACCACCATATAGACACACCCCTACACCCCTACAGTACCACCATAGACACACCTCACAACTCTACAGTACCACCATATAGACACACCTCACACCCCTACAGTACCACCATATAGACACGCCCCACACCCTACAGTACCACCATATAGACACGCCCCTACACCCCTACAGTGCACCACCATATAGACACTCTCTACACCCTACAGTACCACCATATAGACACACCTCTACACCCTACAGTACCACCATATAGACACACCCCTACACCCTTGATAAGGTACCACCATATAGACACACCTCTAGCACCCTAAGCAGTACCACACCACATAGACACACCTCACACCCTACAGTACCACCATATAGACACGCCTCTACACCCAAGGAAAATACCACCATATAGACACACCTCTACACACCCCACAGTACCACCCATATAGACACACCTCTACACCCTACAGTACCACCATATAGACACACCTCACACCCCTACAGTACCACCATATAGACACGCCTCTACACCCCACAGTACCACCACACAGACATCGTGCCCCTACACCCCATAGTACCACCATATATAGACACACCTCACCACCCTACAGTACCATATAGACACACCCCACACCCCAGCAGTACCAAATTACATATAGACACACCCCACACCCCACAGTACCACCATATAGACACACCCCCACACCCCACAGTACCACCATATAGACACACCCCACACCCACAGCACCACCATAGACACACCCCTACACCCCACAGCACCACCATATAGACACACCCCACACCCCACAGTACCACCATATAGACACGCCTCTACACCCCTACAGTACCACCATATAGACACACCTCTACACCCTACAGTACCACCATATAGACACACCTCTACACCCCACAGTAACACCATATATATAGACACACTTACACCCTACAGTACCACCATATAGACACACCTCTACACCCCACAGTACCACCATATAGACACACACTCTACACCCCTACAGTACCACCATATAGACACACCCCACACCCTACAGTACCACCATATAGAGCACACCACATGCACCACAGTGCCCACACATATAGGACACGCCCCCACACCCTACAGTACCACCATATAGACACACCTCTACACCCTAAGCAAAACCACCATATAGACACACTTCTACACCCCATGTAGCACCATAGACACACTCTACACCCTACAGTACCACCCATATAGACACACCCCACACCCCACAGTACCAACCATATATAGACACACCCCACACCCCTACAGTACCACCATATAGACACACCCCACACCTCACAGTACCACCATATAGACACGCCCTACACCCACAGTACCACCATAGACACGCCCCACACCCCACAGTGCCCACCATATAGACACACTCTCACACTCCTACAGCACCACCATATAGACACACCTCTACACCCCACATACAGCAGGCCACAATTATATAGACACGCTTCTACACCTATAGTACCACCATATAGACACACCTCTACACCCCATGCAATTACCCATATAGACACATCCCATAATTTACAGTACCACCCATATAGACACACCCCTACACCCATAGTACCACCATATAGACACACCTCTACACCCTGCACAGTACCACCATATACAGACACACCCCACACCCCACAGTACCACCATATAGACACACCCCACCCTGTACCACCATATAGACACACCTCTACACCCTCTGTGCCACCATATAGACACAACTTACACCCCACAGTACCAACACATAGACACACAATTCCCCACACCCCACGTGCCCACCATATAGACACACCTCTACACCCTACAGCACCACCATATAGACACACCTCTACACCCTACAGTACCACCATATAGACACACCACACCCTACAGTACCACCATATAGACACACCTCTACACCCTACAGTACCACCACATATATAGACACACCTCTACACCCTACAGTACCAGACTATACAGACCCCCCCCCCCCCCCCCCCCCCCCCCCCCCCCCCCCCCCCCCCCCCCACACCCCTACAGCACACCACCATATAGACACGTCCCTACACCCAATAGTACCACCACATATAGACACACCTCTACACCCTGACAGTACACCATGGAGGAGATATACCCCATGCACCCCACAGTACCACACCATATAGACACAACTTCTACACCCCTACAGCACCACCATATAGACACAATTCCCCACACCCTACAGTACCACCATATAGACACGCCTCTACACCACAGTACCACCATATAGACACCCTACACCCTACAGTACCACATGCACCACACCCACAGTACCACCATATAGGACACACCTCACACCCCAAGGAAAATACTCTATGGAGGATGCACACCCCAGCATTCCCATGTAGTACCACCATATAGACACCTCACACCCCACAGTACCACCATATAGGACACACCCACACCCTAAGAAAACCATGTACACACACTGCACACCCCACAGTACTACCTTATATAGACACACCTCTACACCCTACAGTACCACCATAGACACACCCCTACACCCCTACAGTACCACCATATAGACACACAATTTACACCCTACAGTTCACCCATATATAGACACACCACACCCTACAGTACCACCATATAGACACACCACACCCCTACAGTGCACTACCCATATAGACACACCTCTACACCCCATAGTACCACCATAGACACACCTCTACACCCCACAGTACCACCATATAGACACACAATTCCCCACACCCTACAGTACCACCATATAGACACACCTCTACACCCCATAGCACCATAGACACACCTCTACACCCTCGCACCACCATATATAGACACACACCTCTACACCCCTACAGCACCACATATAGACAGACCCCTACACCCTATGGTACCATATAGACACACCCCACACCCCAGTACCACCATATAGACACGCCTCTACACCCTACAGCACTGTCCAAGGATGGTCATCTCCCCACACCCCAAGGCACCACAGACACACACCCCAGCACCATAGACCCCTCTACACCCTACAGTACCACCACCATATAGACACACCCACACCCCAGCCCACCATATAGACACACCCCACACCCCTACAGCACCAAATGGCAGACACACCCCACACCCCTACAGCACCACCATATAGACACACCCCCTACACCCTACAGTAACACCACCATATAGACACACCCTACAGGTGCCCACCATATAGACACGCCTCTACACCCTACAGTACCACCATAGAGACACGCCCTATACCTAAGAGTACCAGGCCCCATATAGACATCCCTCTACACCCTACAGTACCAAATTCATATAGATACACTTACACCCTACAGTACCACCATATAGACACACTCCCTACTCTCATAAACCACCCACATAGGACACACCCCACACCCCAAGAGTACCCCACCACAGGACACACCTCACACCCCACAGTACCACCAGATAGTATCACACACCCTCTGACATCTCACAAGCACAGCAACCAACGAAGAAAGTGAGACACACCCTGTCAACTCTACAGCACCACCATATAGACACACCCCACACCCCAGTACCACCATATAGACACACTTCTACACCCTACAGCACCACCATAGATGGTCTCTACACCCCACAGCACCACCATATAGACACACTCCCCACACCCCAGCACACCACAGAGACACCACAACCCCTACAGCACCAACCACACACCTCTACACCCTACAGTACCAACTATAGACACACCCCACACCCCACAGCACCACCAGTGACACACCCCACACCCCACAGCACCACCACATAGACACACCCCCACACCCCTACAGCACCACCATAGACACACCCCACACCCCACAGCACCACCATAGACACGCCCCTCATACCCACATATAGACACACCTCACACCCCACAGCACCACCCGTGAGACACACCCCTACACCCCTACAGTGTACCACCAGCAGACACACCCTACATCTACAGTACCACCACATAGACACACCCCACACCCTACAGTACCACCATATAGACACACCTCACACCCCACACATATATATCCCCACACCCCACCCATAGGCAGACACATCCACACCCCACAGTACCCACCAAGAGCAGACACAATTCCTCACACCCCACACAGCACCACCATATAGACACAACCCCACACCCCACAGCACCACCATAGACACACCCCTACACCCCACAGTACCACCCATATAGACACGCCCTACACCCCACAGTACCACCATATAGACACCTCTACACCCCACAGTACCACACCATATAGACACACCTCTACACCCTACAGTACCACCATATAGACACAATTCCCCACACCCTACAGTACCACCATATAGACACACCTCTACACCCCATAGTACCAACACCATATAGACACGCTTACACCTATAGTACCACCATATAGACACACACTGTACACCCCATAGTACCACCATATAGACACACTGCACCCTACAGTACCACCATGGTGACACGCCTCTACACCCCATAGTACCACCATAGACACACCTCTACACCCCATAGTACCAATTATAGACACACCCTACACCCACAGTACCACCATATAGACACACCCCTACACCCCTACAGTACCACCATATAGACACATCTCACACCCCTACAGTACCACCATATAGACACACCTCTACACCCACAGTACCACCATATAGACACACCCCACACCCTACAGTACCACCATATATAGACACCCCACACCCCACAGCACCACCATATAGACACACCCCACACCCCACAGCACCACCATATAGACACACCCCACACCCCACAGCACCACCATATAGACACACCCCACACCCCACAGTACCACACCATAGACACACCCCACACCCTACAGCACCACCATATAGACACACCCTCTACACCCTCTACAGTACCACCATATAGACACACCCTTACACCCTATGTGCCACCTATAGACACGCCTCTACACCCTACAGTACCACCTTATTACAGACAACCACACCCCAGTACCACCATATAGACACGCCTCTACACCCCAGTACCACCATATAGACACAATTCCCACACCCCATAGTACCACCATAGACACACCCCCACACCCTACAGTACCACCATATAGACACACCCCTACACCCCTACAGTACCACCATAGTGAGACACACACCCCACACCCCCATAGTACCACCATAGACACACTCCCTACACCCTACAGTACCAACATATAGACACACCTCTACACCCCTACAGTACCACACCATATAGACACACCTCACAATCTCTACAGTACCAACATATAGACACACACCCCACAACCCCACAGTACCACACCATATAGACACACCCCTACACCCCACAGTACCACCATATATAGACACACCCCACCCCTACAGTACCACACCCATATAGAGCAGTCACTCTACACCCCAGCACACATATAGACACACACCCCACACCCTACAGTACCACCATATAGACACACCCCACACCCTAGTACCACACTAAGAGACACGCCCTACACCCCACAGCACCACCATATAGACACATCCCCACCCTACACCAATTACATAGACACACCCCACACCCCTACAGTAACACCATATAGACACGCCTCTACACCCCACCACCATATAGACACACCTCTACACCCCAAGTAGTACCACCACATAGACACACACCTCTACACCCCACAAGTGGTACCACCATATAGACACACACCCCACACCCTCACAGTACCACCCATATAGACACACCCCCACACCCCTACAGCACCACCACAGACACACCCTACACCCTACAGTACCACACCATATAGACACACCTCTACACCCTACAGTACCACCATATAGACACACACACTCCCCACACCCTACAGTGCCCACCATATAGACACACCTCACACCCTACAGTACCACCATATAGACACACCCTACACCCCACAGTACCACCATATAGACACGCTCTACACCCCTACAGTACCACCATATAGACACACCCCCACACCCCTACAGTACCACCACATATAGACCATCACCTCTACACCCTACAGTACCACCCATATAGACACACCCCCACACCCCTACAGTACCACCCATAGACACACCCCACACCCTACAGTACCACCATATAGACACACCCCACAATCTTGCCAGTACCACCATATAGACACACCTCTACACCCCATAGTACCACCATATAGACACACACGCCTCTGGCTGATCCCACAGTACCACCATATAGACACACCCCACACCCCCACAGCACCACCACATACAGACACGCCTCTACACCCTACAGTACCACCAGCAGATGGCACCCCACACCCCACAGTACCACCCATATAGACACACACCCCCACACCCCAGTACCACCATATAGACACACCCCACACCCCACAGTACCACCATAGACACGCCTCTACACCCCATAGTACCACCATATAGACACGCCTCTACACCCTACAGTACCACCATATAGACACGCCTCTACACCCTACAGTACCACCATATAGACACGCCTCTACACCCTACAGTACCACCATATAGACACGCCTCTACACCCCATAGTACAAAACTTATACAGTACTTGTGTTTCTCAGTGTATTAGTAGTATATAGTAAATTCACACTACTGAATCACTAAGTTATACAGTATAAGCGAGATCAGAGAAGCAAAGTTTTCCCTGTCAATTCTCAGAAGGTGACATAAAAGATATTAGTTTGGAGAATAAGGAACTAAAACAATGCAAAAAATTAAAAAATCTCTTATTTTCTGCAGATTGAATTTGACGACGATAAAAAGGCTAAAGGTGTGGTCTTTGAATATGAGGGAGAGGTGAGTTGACTTTAGTGTGTGGGGAAGTAAGTTGACCTCTAGGTGACCCATGACCTCAAATAATTTATCGCTTGTAGTTTAAGTGTCAAATTTGCTTGAACTGTTGTTCATTCTGTGTAAGAAAGGTTGAATGCTTTTATCTAAAATTGTTTAAATTCCCCAATATAGGCTGTGATTCAACAAACTGCTTATTTTATTATTTTTTAAGGTTTTTGGTGTCTTTACGTTTACCTCACATATTACTAAATATTATATGCAGTGCTATTTTTTTCATTTAAGGCAATCCTTGTTTTTAAATCTATACAAAATTTCTATAAACAATTGTCTTATCCCACTGGCTACTGAATAATTGATACTTTATTGTGTAGTGTATTTTATTAAAAGGCTGAGGCTCATTTTAAGTTCAGAATACTCTATCAGTCCACTAAAAACTAATATTATTGGATGTATGATGAAATCTGATAAACAATCTCAAATGTGTACTGTACTGAATTGCCCTATAATTAATGTAGACAACCCTATTGACACTATTGTGTGCTATAAATCTCATAAAAGTACAGTAAGGTATCCCCTGATCTACGATGGGGGCAGTGCCGGATTAAACATGAGGCACTGGCCTTAGGCCCCCCGACTCTAAGGGGCCCCCAAATCCAAACATTCTCGAAGTTGAAGCGCATAAAACATGAACTTCGTTCAACGATGTCCTAGCAACGTCTCAATTTTCTGTCTCTTATGAACATTGAATGTGTTATTTTGCAGAAGCTTAATACTGTATTGATGAAATCATTGATAAATTTTGGTATATTTTGTTCTTGCTATATATATACTGTACTGTATACCTTGAGGGTAGAGGGGCCCAAGTTGATCTGTGCCTCAGGCCCCTCTTAAGCTTAATCCGGCCCTGGATGGGGGTTACGTTCATAGATTGGGATCATTATAACATGAGGTTCAATGGAATACATTCCCAGCCAGTCCGACACCCACATGTATCACCGAAAATAAAATTCCTACACTATCACTAAAACACTATTAAACAACTCACCACATCACTATGAACAAGCCTGGTTGTTATCACATGTCCACTTCGAGGCTGGACTAGGCCAAGAGTGCGAGCAATATAGCACACTCCTTCACTTCTCTCTTGCTGCTTCATAATGTCAAGCTTCACCTTCAGAGAGACAGTTTTCCTCGGTGCCTTGGCCTCCCCAGAAGCAGGACTCACAGCAACACACTTGTTAACCATTTTCAAAGTTACACTGCTCACTTCAGTCACAAAAAGAGAGTGAAAGCACTTATCACAATCAGAAGAACTAAGTATAATCTGAACATTAGTAATGTCCTGTAATTGTATTGGGAAAACAAAAACACCAATGATAATGTAAAAACAATCATAGCCACCGACACTGCTTACACCATGTTCATAACAACAGAAGTAAAGCACTTTATAGTCACAAAAATCATAGCAAAAATAATTTCACAGTCACCAAAACAGAGTACAATGTAAACATTAGTGATGTCGTCTCACTGAAGAATAAAATAAAAAAAGTAAATAAATAAATAAAAAAATCACTGATACTGACCAATAATCTTTGAGCTACACTATCATGGGCAGATACGATCACCACGGAACAATGTGCTGGACTATAGTGCACCAGAGGGCCGCTTGGCAGCTGACAAATGCATTGAGAGAAAATGACTATCGTTCATGTGGATTATTTACATCATAAATAGGGGGGGGGTGGTCTTAATACATCGCCATCGTTAAAGTGGAATATTGTAGATAAGGAGATTGTAGATCGGGGGATACCTGTACTGTACAGGTAGGGACGTACTGTTCGATAAACATACGGTACACATAATGTATTTGTTACCTGCACTGATTTACAATTTGGGTAATTTTTAAAAATATAAATACATGTATTTTTCTCCTTAAAAGAGTAATCCATATCACTAGGTTCCCTGCCCCTTGATAAAAACAAAATTAAACCACTATATCTGCTGTCTCTCTCCCAGGTGTTTGAAGTAGGTGCAAAGAAGGAGGTGATAGTGTGTGCTGGGGCGCTTGCCTCCCCAAAGTTACTCATGTTATCTGGTGTTGGCCCCAGTGAGCAGCTATACAGCCATCAGGTTAGTCCTCTAAAATCCATGCTGCATATTACCAAATTTTGAGGTGATTTTTACCTGAGAAAATTGATAAAGGAGCGATGCTATACAGAGTGAACAGATATGGGAAAATTGGAGAAACAGATATAGAATGAAAAGTAAAGAACTGTATATGGATGCAATGGATAAAGGATGAATAAGGAATGGATGACTAAATATCTGTGCAAGAGATACTGTACATGGAATAGCAAGAGGTATGACTAATTATGAAGAAGAATGGTAAACTGAGGAAGTAGACTTGTGTGGAGGAATATCAGGAGCTTTATAAGGATAACATAATATGAAAGGAGGCTTAACAATAGCCACCTTGTTCAATAATGAGAGTTGGCTTGATACAGAAACAGTACTACAAGCTTAAGATGCAGGGCAAATATTAAATGACTTTATAAAGATAATTTTTCATTCCCAGTTAAAGGATTATGCAGGAAACAACTTTGAAGGTAATCCATTATTCCATGCACCTACAGCATTTAAGGTTGACATCTAATATGTTAAATAAGTCTGGGATCTTATGACGATATAATAGGTAATCATGAAGACACCAGATCAGAGAACACCCTTGTAAATATCAGTTCTAAATGTGGGTCTTCAAGGTGTGAATTCAGTGTTGCTCTTGTACCCCAATGGAGTTTTGCATCCCTTTCACAGGTATTCTGACAGTATTCAAAACAATGTGATATAAAACTGACGAATAAACTAACTTGGATGAATAGAATAATGCTGAATGAATGAAGGAAACCTGGATGAGTGGAGAAAAGATCAAGTAAAAAAGGTAACCTAAATAATGATTGGGAGGTAATGTAACACTAGACATCTTAAATAACACTGGGTAAATAAAAGTAATATAGGTACTGTACTAGGAAAGTAAAGAATTACAGTACAGTACTAGACAACTAAATCAAATCCAGGTAAGGAAGGTAACAGATGGCGACAAAAATAAAATGAATGACTAGTAAGCTGATAAAGTGAATGATATATAACTATACAATAATAATAAGTACAGTATGTAAAGTAACAGTAGATGTGGTGCAGATGGAGGTGGTGGCTGATGTTCCGGGTGTGGGCCAGAACCTGCAGGACCACCTGGGTGTGTACGGTCTCACCTGGACTATCCCTAACACTGCCTCCTTGGCTTCACTCTTCGACACCAGTGCCCTGGACGATTATGTCATGTACAAAGAAGGTAAATTTCTATGTCCCTTGAGACTAGATGAATGGATACTGAGCTATAATAGGTACTGTTCTATGTAGATGTGTAGACTTTAGCAACATATGAATGCCATTGGTCAAAGGTCACTTATACTAAATTTCCTTGTTCACTGTTTAATGTGGACATGTGTGTATCAGCTTGTTCACTTTATAAATTAATTAAATACACTTAAGGCACAGACAAAGGGTAATTGATTGTAAGGCTTGGGTTTATACTCTATAATGGTGTGTTGTTACTTATGTGTTTTATTTAGCTAAAGTTTTGGAATTCATCATGCTTCAAAATACAGGGTTGTCCAAATTAATTTATATTGGCTTACTAACTTCTCAGTCAGTAGGTTTACTCGTGTTAAATAATAATCAGATCTCAAAAATTAAATATCTCTCTTGTTTGACTTTGATATAAATTTGTAAGCCATCTCCTGAATGAGGTTTATGGTTGTTCTTCATGTACAGGGAGTTTAATATAGTATAAATGGAACCAAACAGGGTTAGGTGACGGAGGATAAGGAAATGAGAGATTTGATGAATTTATTGTTTTGAAAATTCTCTTATTTCCTGTGTGGTTCAAATAATGTGAACCACCCTGTATGTAGTTAAAGAGTCTGATGAATTCCTGATAGTTAAGAGTGTAATCATTATGAACCACAGGGCCTTACTCAGCACCCATGGGGGACTATGGCAGTGCCTGGGTCAAGGTGATGGGAGGAGGCGACCCACAATACCCAGATATACAGCTCTACCTCTCCCCCACCTCCTTCCATGGTGATCATGGACTCTTTATCCCTTACATTTATGGAATGGATCAAATGGTAAGTTTTTTTTCTCTCTAGTGTTGATATTTACCACCATGGTAGTAAATGTAGAGTGCAGTATTTCTTTAGGGTTACCTGATCAACTAACACATCATCCCTCTCATATTTCATCTTAGGCTCTTAACTCTCTATTCCATATGTAATCACCAACTATTCTGAAGTAGAACATAAATGAAATATAAAATAAGGTACAGTACAGTATTGTGGTACTTTCCTTCTTTAGTGGATAAAACTAAGCACCACTCACTGTACTCGTAAAGTACACTATTTAAAACAATTTCATACAAAGCGATGTACTTTATAGTTTTAACTTACATCTAAAAAATGTTGTCTTCACAGAAATATTTGAGCTATTACTCACAAATATTTGGTCAAACGGGCTTCACTCTAATGGTGTCCCTCCTGCGCCCTAAGAGCCGTGGGACAATCACTCTCAAGTCAAGCAACCCCAAAGACAAACCTGTCATTGATCCCAAGTTCCTCAGTGACAAGGAAGATCTGCTAACACTGGCCAAAGGTGAGATTTGTATACAGTATTTTGTTCTTGTTATTGGAGGTTAGTGAGGCAATGCACACTTGTATCCCAACCATGATGAGTGATTGCCTTGTATTCCGGTTAATATAAACGTTTCTCCGATGTAACCGGTTTATACATTGCCTTGGTATCCAGCAGACTTGAAGTCTAAGTAACAAGAAATATGAAGCTATCATAGTAATGCCAGTACAGCACTTGGTTGACAATACAGTAGATGATTGATATAAACAAATTACTGTAAATACATTTAGTTAAAAGACATGAGAGGAGTTAGTTACTCTAAACTACTTGTTGCAAGTGAGTGAAAGATAAGTTGAGTCAGACAAAAAGATAATACTATAGTGATGAGATCCCATTGTAGACAATAAGCAGTGTTACATAGATATCAACATGACCAGTGAATCTAGAGGGTTGATCTCTGGGTGGAAAGAGAGGGAGACAGTTTTGCAACAGACACTGTTGTTCATGATGACCATTTTTTCTTCATAAAATTTGGGGTTAAGAAAAATGGAGCATTAAGATTAGAAATGATTCTTTCTAACACTAGACCTGTCAGCACCCCTAAAACCTGAATTTCATTTCAGTCAGATATTGAGCAGCTTTTCTATGAGTATATGGGGATGTTCATAATCACAGACCCCCATGGTATATCAAGTTTGGCATTACTCAGACAGTTGTTGTTTGTTGGATTTCACTGGACGAATCAGATGGAGGTCAAATTTACCCTCTTACTTCTTAAAAAGCTAAATACATTAGGACATAACTTGGAATTTTAGGAACACAATTGATATCATTGGAAAGCAGACCTCTTATACCCCATAAAGCCTACATTTCCTTTGCAATGGACAATGAGAAGATAGTTTTAGTATGGGTGAGGGTGGAATAATTTCTGACATTTCATACTTTTTACATCACTGTAAGGTTCACAAGCTTGTCGATCCGTTACAAGGAATATCACTCATCAACTTTCTTTCCTTTATAGGTGTAAGATTCGCCTTACAACTGGGAGAGACTTCGGCCCTCAAGAGTCAAGGAGCCACTTTTTACAATAAAGTAAGGTTCCATCTCAACATTTACAGTTTGTATGAAACTTAACCAATTATTCAAGTTAAATATTGATCTTGGTAAATTCCCCCCAAAAATTCATTACCTCTTCTCTTATTTTCATTAACATTTTACTGTATTATATAATCTTTTGATTATCTAACAGGAAGAACAAAAATAAAAAAAATTAAGTTTTCATTCCTGTGTATAAGACCATATAGATTAAGATATACTGTATATATGTACAGTATATTTAGATTATATTGTATTCGTGATTTGTTCCTCATGTCCAATCCCAGGCAGTACCTGGATGTGAATCGGTTGCACACAGAAACAAGTATTTCATCTGCTATGTGCAACATATGGCCTCTTCATACTGGCACCCTGCTGGCACTTGCAAGATGGGTCCAACCACTGACCCTCTTGCTGTAGTGGATGATAGGCTCAGGTGAGATATCCATCTACCTTATTTATCAACTATAAACATCAAAATCACGCAAAAAATTCTTAGAAAGAGAGAGCAGCCTTTAACAAAAACATGGTATACAGTTAATAATCCAAGTGCTTCAGGTACAGTACAATACAGTACAGTACAGTTAGACAGTAGCTTCTCAGTTTTACACCATTGGACTTAAACAGGCTCTTGAGTGTATCTGAACTTAAAAGAAAATGTCACATTTGGTGCTACCACAACATTCTTTGGTAGATTATTTTATAAATTAACAGTTCTTATCCCAAAGGAATTAGCTCCGACAGATTTCTGTGATGTAGCTTTTTTAAATTAAAACTGTCACATACAGTAATGTTCATCAACCAATTTCAGATTTGTACATTTGGCCGAGTACAACAGCACCAATCAAAATATTTATACACCTCAGTTAATTCCTCTCTTGCTCCCCTATAATATAAACTGGGCAGCTGTAAACACTGAAGTTTGTCTCAATAAGTAGAATTATATTATTCCATGTAGGAAGACAAATCCTTTGAAGAGTGATTATCGCAAGATTCATTTACTGTCACAACAATCGGAGAATTTCAGTTCTATTATCAACATAAATACCCAGATCTTTGTTACATGCAGTTTGGATTGGGCCGGTACAGTATTTCCATTGTGCTGGGGTATATGGTACAGTACACCTTTAGTATGGCTAAGATGCATTCCTTTACATCTAACCTTACCACCCATTATTGTGGCCATCCTTGCAACTGATAATGTGCTCCCTTTGACTGTAGCTCTCTCAGCCATTTTCCATTTGAAGTTTAATTTCTCAAATTAGCATACACCATTCTGTCCTGATCATCATTATGAGTAGCAAACTATCTTGTGGAACTACATAACTCTTTGTAAACAACCCTTTTCAGGTGATGGCATTCTTACATGACCTGTTATACAGCATCTCAAGGATATACAGTTTTGGGGAATATTAATGAAATTACATAATTTTTATTACCTTAAAACTTTTCAGTATTTAAGGCGTTGATCAAAATGGCCTTTCTTATCCTAGAGCAATGATGTCTTACCAGTGGTGGTAATCTAAAATGAGCTGTATCATCCTAGGGTCTACAGAGTGTCTGGTCTGCGAGTGGTGGACACCTCCATCATGCCAGTCATTGTTTCTGGCAGTACCAACATTCCAACCATCATGATTGCGGAAAAAGCCACTGACCTCATCAAGAGTGACTGGGATGTTGAAATAGATGTTTAGCAAAAAACCTTCATCGCATAATATTCATGTAAATACTGTATAATAAATAAGTATTCATCTGTTGATATCAGTTACAGTACCTAAAACAGTTTAAATTCTCATGTTATGTCATAATTATATGCATACTTATTATTAATTCCATTATGAAATCCTTAGCCACAAAGAATATACCCTCTGTACTACTCACCATATCCGAGAAAATAATGAAAATGATTACCTAAGGTAAAGTTTCTACTTCTGCAACAAATGATTGAAGTAGAATTCTCATTTAATGGTCACAGGAAAGAGGCAACTTACTACTACTGCAGATGTCTCACTAGAACTCTCACTGACAAGAGCCTGCCTTGTCCAGGGGGCTTAATGTGTTCCAGTGGAAGATTGCTCTGGCCAGCCAGATCAGTAGGTTAAGAGTTAGCAAAAAAGAGCTTTAACGCCGACCTAGCGGTTGCCATAAAATGAGATTCCTAGCTTCAATCTTTAAAATTTTCTTACCAATAAAGTAACCAAGGGGATGGGAGAGGTTCATGCTCAAGTGTCTCTTCTCATCGGTCCTAACAAGTATTTCATTCATCAATCCGTTATATTTTGGTGTATGACACCTACAGACAGTAGGTTGGTTGATAGTGGAGAGACTACTGTATTACTTTTAACTTACTTCTATCAATACAACAGTTTTCCCCATAACTTCCTGGCAAGAAAGAAAAAATCAAGTTTACCGTAATGTTTCAATGATGAATCCATATAATTTTTCAACATGAATATTTATTAAAATACTGTATACAGTACTGTATACAAAAAATATATAAAGCCATTTTTGACTATGGACACTGAACACAGCAAGGGCTGTTTTCATTAAATTTGGACGGATAGTTTTGAGATACAATTACAGTAGCACACATTTTGTACAGATTTCACAACAATTATAACGTAAGTACTGTACATATGAAGTTTCCATTGTGGATGTACATGAGAAATGAAGTAATATGAGTCATACCACATACTGTACTTATGGGTCCCTTACAAACTACAACACTAAAATGTATACTGTATACCTGAAAAAGTAAACAAGGTATTTATTTGTGCATACAATCATCACTGGTTATAAATAAGAACCCCCCCCCAAAAAAAAATAATAAAATAAAAATAGAGAAGTACAGTATACAGGTATTTGTGTAAATACTGTACAGTAATGGAATTAAGCATATGAGTGTGTATTTTTGTACCTACACATTCTTTTTATATAAACACTCACTCTGTGTGTGTTTGCATGTACTGTACTATAATACAGTATGTGTAAAGAAAGTTTCTTTACATGGACAATAATTTCATGAGTGTGTGATCATGTTTGATTACAAAATCTGGTACATAAAAAAAGAAAAAACAAAACAAAACTAGCTGTACAGTTACTAGTTTTTAAAAAGGGATGGATTTTAGTATACAGTATTTTATCCATATTTCAGTCATCCAAAATCAATCACTAAGTACTGTCTTTCTCAATCAAAAGCTTCAGCATAAATTTCAAATTGCAGTACCAGTAATTATAAAATCTTAACAGAATACAAAAATGATACCCAAAGGAAAAAATCAGGATCATTCACCATAAAAGAAAAATCCTTCAATTCCACTGAGGGATCATCCATTACTGTAATGTGTAAGTAAAAAACATACTACAGTATAGTACTGTACATGCTTACTTCAACACTGTACCCAGAAATCCCTCAAAAACTCTTATATCACTTTGGATGACGTTAACATATAGGTAGACACGTATTTCTTTTCATTACTGGATCAAATAATTTTAAAAATCAAGTAACAACCGGGACATGGAGGGCTGTACAGATGATCACTGGATACCACAAATGGAAAGACTGTGGATGGATTCACAAATGTAGTTACAGGCAAAACAATGATAACTAATGTTGAACACCCTCTCTCTCAGTGTCAATCAAATAAAAACTACCTGTAAATCTCTTAAAGAATTTACATGCTAAACATCAAAATATATTAAATATGCTTGTACAGTATGCATGTATAACACACAATAAACTGCAAATATAAAAAAAAAAGGTTTGATTACAGTACTGTACTATAAATTGTTTTCTTGAAATTTTTTTTTGACACATTGTCCACTGAATTTTTTCACAATACTGTACAGTATAGGGAAAGGTTACAAAACCTTTTAAGAACTGTGATATATTTCATGACAAGAAATGTGAGAACCTTTCTCTCTCTCTCAACTGTATGGCCTACACTAGCAAACACTGTACAGTACTGTACTGTACAACTGAAAATCAAGAAGGGGAGAGATAACAGAAAAAGTTCTTAACACCTCCAGAAAAACAAAGAAAAAATGGAATACAAAATCTCTGGCTGATGTAGGTCAAGCCTGAGGGCCAATAGTTTCTTTACACAGTTGGTAAAACCAGTTAAAATTATTTATTACTACATAAACTAGTAAGTTAGAACAACAAATATTTATCTACAGACGAAGCTGCATTGCTAATGCAATCTCCCCATTCCATTGGATGTATAAATACTGTAGTTTCAGTCAGTGAGTAACAGGAGGTGCTTATTATCTCCAAATTATCAAAGGCCATCCACATATAAAACAAGACACTCACTAAACTGGTAAAGCAAATAGAATTAGTTTAACTGGAGATACTGTCCTCTCATACTGTGGATCTAACCAATATACAACTAGTGAAAGAGAGAGAAACCTTCATACATATACAAACACATAGATTACTTCCATTCATGTGATAATTATGATTAGGCAAATGGAAGACAAGTTTTCTGGAAAATAAGAATGACAATATAAATGTCATTTTACCTAAATTAGACTAATATGTATTGTTGAGATTATAAAAGTTTTACAATTAGGAGAGTACAAACATTATATTATCATTATTATCCTCATATATACTGTGCTGTACTAATGTATACATTATAGTTACACACACACACCAGGTAAAGTTTCTCTCAAAACCCTTTAGCTGTGGGAGACTTAACAAGAATCATGTTAAAATGCTTGATGCAGTTTGTGTAGAAATACCAAGAGGTCATATATACAAACACAGCATACTTTTATATACATCACTTACATGATAATAAAATACTACACAACTTATTTGAATGATATAAAACTGCAGAAAATTCATATAGCTGACTGCGTGAATATATATAGCATATAAAAATGTAAATATCAATTTAAGTATATATGTATGTATGTATGTATGTACTTCAGCAGAATAAAAAAAAAATAATGAACCAATATTTTGGTTAAGGTAAAAGCCAAAGTGGATACTATCAATTCTTATAACACCTGGACCAGGGTTAGTCACAGCAGCCAAAGTTAAACCCATTGCTGAAGGAGAACAACATTACTAAGAGGTCTATGAACACAGTTAAGAGTACACCAAGCAGGTAACAAGAACAAAGCTTTGGTGACACACACTTTATGACAGCAGACATGTGCCAAGGAGTGCAGGAAAAGACAAAACTAAAAACCACAAAAAGGAGAACTACATAACGAGGTACATTTAACCCTTCAAATACTGTACCAGCTTAGCCCAATTCTCCCCTTTCCTCCAGTACCAGGCAGTAGCTAGTGATTTTTAAATGCAATGCTAAATACCACAAATCCATAGTTGGCTCATGTACAGTACATTTAATGTTTTGCATGCATAAATTTTAATACATGTACTCACTACAGTAACACACAGCTGGGAATGTGAAGTTGTCTCTGGGAGGTGGTCATAGTGTATTATTAAGATACAGGTACTGGTAAGCTCTGGGATGCCTTACATGCTAAGACTTCTGGGAATATTGTACTGGTTGTTGTGGAAGTGACAAAGACATGCTAAACTTATGAGGGGAGGTATTTGGACTTTTTATAATGCTAATCTCACCCATGTGTTACTGGAATTGGCTTTGTTAGTAACATTGTATTAATTAGAGAAGTGCTGCAAGTGAAGAATTGTCTTTACTGATACAGTATACAAAAGAATGCCTTCATTATGTTAGTGTTTAAGAATGAGCATAGAGTTATTTATGTTATAAGTAAGTATCATTTAATCTACTATTTCAGATAGCAGAATCTCTTTGATCTGATGACTTTGTGCTAAAGGGGTGTCAAAATTCTCTGAATGAGTCAGCCAAAATTTTCACCCCAAAGCTGATGTAACTTAAGCTATTGTGTAACCACTGCAACACTTTGTTATACATAAAATATATGATTAAGATGATACTATTGCAAATTAGATCAAATATTTTAGATATGTAGAATTTTTCAGACATTTTAGTTCCAATTCCATATTTTGTTAGATTAATGTGTATGTATATCTTGACATTTCAGATATTATCCATATCATGAATTTAAAACAGTCACATTAAAGAGATTCCACTTATTTTCAAATCTGCTTTTGCTGTTAATAGCAACTTTGAAAATAAATATCTTTAGCATTAATCCATGTTCTTAGCTGAGACCAAAGTTAGATCCTGCCGCACTTTAATGCTTAACCGATCATTTTAGCAGATGCATCAGACCTTGCACCCGGTGTAGTGGGTCGCGAGGCTGTGAATGAGCTCATTGTCTCCATCTGAAATATAGGAATATCCATGGATGATGAACATTATAATATCTTATTATTCATCAGGGAGATTCAATTCATTCCTTCAACTAAATCAATGGAGATTCATAAATCTTTACAAGACCAACACTAACAATACTGAACTTGTATGGAACACATGAAAATATCTTATCCCGAGCAAGAACTGCCGCTCCACACTAAATACCAATACTAGACAAATGTTAACTAATATTCCACAAAACTCTCCAACACACTGACAAGCATTTCTCTATGATCTTTAAACTTTTCACAAAACAAGTTGCGCAAATTTGCAACATATTCAAAGACAATTTTTTTCTAATCTAACATATTTCTCTTCAATTGTGGGTGCTTATATTAAAATATATATTACAGATAAAAATAAATGTCAACTTGTGTTAGTAGACAAATAATAAAAGATAAACTGCTGAATGCTTGACTTAAAACTAAATACTGTTTCTAAAAGAATTGCCTTAAAGTTGCCTGTGTAAAAATTATTACAGTACAGTATAGCACTAACAGAGTTGTTCAATATTCCAAAAAAAGTGCAATAGTCTCTACAGGAAGCCAGTCGTAGATGCATTCTTCTATGGTAAGGAAAATGCATCATTAATCTCATATTATTGCCAACATTTTTAAGTGAGGAGCTACCATCACACCAAAGACTTCCGTCATGCAAACCAAATATGACATTGATTTAGCAACAGTAAAGTATATAAAGTGAGTGAAATAATCCATCAAATATTTAATCATTAAAGGGTTACACAGAATAAGTACTAGGCCCAAATGGCTAAAACTATGAAGTTAAGTATGTCAGCCTCTAGACTTTATAATCCATCTGTGTGGAAATAGTAGAACGTGCCCCTGGAGTGGTGGGGCGTGAGCTGTACCCCATGGTGCTCATTGTGTCCATCTGTAAAGGGTGCAGTAAGATTAAGGCAGTGCTAGATATATTATTAGTGAAATACATTGTCTACTGAGATCATGATTCCTCAAAACACATTTCAGATTAATAATTACACTATGATAGAAAATTTACTGTACAATATTCGTAACACCAACATACATTAATCCAATTTGCCACTCAAATATTATTAATAAAATTAATAAATAAAAAATACTATGACAATAATATATTAAACATCATTCCAATTTTGTTGTTAAGAGAAATCACATATATCTGTGAGAAATATGAAAAGATACCGTCAAGAACTAAAGAACTATCATCGGCATTACTATAATTTCAAAGTACAGTACAGCCTGTAATAAGGAATCATAACTCAGTGAGATTTACAGGAAGGTCACCAATTGAGTAAATAGTTTAAATTTCCCTTCCAGGAAGGGACACTCATTCATTCATTTTTAGACAGATATGGATCATAAATGAAAGCTCAGCATCAAATCCCTTTTCATAATAATCTGGTTTGAATAACTTTGCACAGACAGCAGTTCTATGGGTTGAAACCCCAGACCTCCAATGAAAAAATCCTATAAAACTGAATTTAATCTTGTTTTGGAGGGAAGCAAAAAAGAAACACACCTTATGCTTCCCCTGACCATGTAGTCCCATGAGGTGAAGACATAATATGGTAGTGTCTTCTCTGAAGGATGCCAGCCTCATCTTATTTATACATTGTCCAAAAGATCTCATCTCCCCTCAATTGAACCACATACAGTATAAAAATTAAACCATTATCCAGCTATCACCATTTGGAGGTTTCTGCCCTGACATCACTATTACCAAAGCAGCTACACCCAACAAGTTCTCCCTGGGAAAACAAACACTGGATGACATTGGTATCATGAACAATTCCACTCAAGGATGAACTCCTGTGGAAAATACTTCAATACAAGAGACTGAAAGGTAATGTTCTATTTGATTAGTTCTGACCAGCTGGCTTTCAAATCTTCTTGTGGAGCATGAAGTAAGGCCTAAAGACCATATACAGTACATGCTGATTTGATAACCCCAAGGTGAGATTCTCGGTATAAACAACTGACAGAGAAGTTTGTTGGAATTCCAAACCAAAACTCTTACATGGCCAAGGCCAGATGACCTACATAGACCATTGGGCTTACCTATAATTACCTCACTAGCTAGCCAGCCACAGACAGACACACTTGCACACCTACAGTATGTGTCTAACAACACCAAAACACTTAGCTGTCTGCCAGGTAAGAGGAGTAGCTTGTTTGCTCAGTTCAAAGTGTGACTGTAATCTAGAGTTGTTTTTACAGACAGGAAGCTTTTATTGCTTATTTAGCAAACCTATGAACAGATCTGGGTGGTACTGATTATGGTTGACAGCAACATTTTCAGTATTCTATGTTATGATGTCTCTGTACCTTATGTTTCATTTGGGATATTATTATGATGGTAAAGGATAATAGAATTTTGTTATTAATAGTTTTTAGATCACAATTCCAAGTTGGAGCCCTGGGGTCTGGCTTGTTAACCTGTAGACTTGTTGGCTACACAGAGTTGCTTCATTCAAATTTAATTATGACATACAATATTCCATTGTCTTAAAATTCCCACACATAACAAGCAACACAACACACATAACATAGTAAAAATGTGCAAAGCTTTAAAAGTCCCAGTTTTAAGTAAATGATAAATGTGAAGCTCCAATCCCATAAGAAATTCACAATGTGACAGTACAGTATCTTCCATGCTTCATGCTTAATAAAATCACCATAGTGCACTGATAACATTCTAATAAAGAGCACCTTTACTAACACTGTATGCAAAAGTAAGCATGGGACACATGTTGCTGGGGTTCTCTTTTCAAAAAATCAGAAATAATTACTCATCAGCATGACCATTTCACTTACAGTGGAAGTTGATGTACTGGATACACATTGACAGAAAACTATACAGGCTGTCTATTATATTTTTCATTACAATTTATAATTAAAGAAAAATACATAATTATGCATACAGTATAAGATTTGGAGGCACAGTTTATTTACAGAAAATATGAGTGGATACTTCCAAAGGAAAATAAAGTTTTTGAATTAATGCAAAAAGAATGGAAATATGGATGAACAGCTGGACACACAATGTTGTACAGTCTCGTTCAAGATTCTTTGAACACTGCTGTAGACAGCTGGTAACTCAAGGCCGTTTGTTTACTATAATAAGTAGTAAAAATTATGAATAAATGTAAAAGTCATCGGTGATTGGTTACTTAGTTCCCTGTTGCTTAATTTAATGGTTGGGTTTTGTTGTTTCGTATTATATTACACTACGTACTATAGTAAACAAACGGCCTTGAGTTGCCAGCTGTCTTCAGCAGTGTTCGAAGAATCTTGAAAGAGACTGTACCATCATATTGTGAGCAATTTTAAGGGCATAAAATGATGAAGAGTTACAAGAGAAAACAGTACAGTAATGTGCTTTCAATCAATTTACTAAAGAAGATGACATGCATAAGTTACATTTCAATTAAAAAAACAAAAGTGAAAAGCTGAGTTTGTTTTGTCTTACCTTTACTCGAGCAACATCCTCAAGTCTGGTGACTTCACACAACTCATGGTAGAAGGAATGCACCACCAACCAAGCATACACATTGCCCAGGATGAAAATTATCCAAAACAGGCACATGAGAATGTGGTAGCTAAACACCAGATCATTGACAATTGATGCGTAGATGATGATAAGTGAACGCCAGATGGTGAAGATCGCCATACACCAAATCCACGGCTCCAAACGCATTTCCATTTCCTAGTGAGAGGATACATGATTAGATATTTTGCAGATACTGTGTACATTTACTGTACTGTATGTCGAGGAGTTGAGAGGCGTCTTGAGAACATCCGAGAGAAAAAAAAAGTGGTACAGTATTAATTTGAAGCCAGCATGAAGGTGTGGCTGTTCTAAGCCATAGTAAAAGGTCCCTGATGACTGGAAAATGGCTTATGCGGGTCCTATATTCAAGAAGGGTGACCGTCACTCCACAAATAATTATAGACCAGTGAGCCTGACCAACATAGTAAACAAAGTACTGGAGAGCATTGTAAGAGATGTCATGATGGAACATCTACTACGAAACAACCTTGTAAAGGATTGCCAACATGGTTATGCCAGGAAGGTTCTGCTTAACACAATTACTCAAGGTTCTAGATGTTTGGACTCAAATTCTAGAACAAGGCAGAAATATCGACAATATATACCTAGATTTTGCCAAGGGTTTTGACAGCGTACCCCATGAAAGGCTGAGAATCAAACTGGAAGGGTACAGGATTCAGGAAAGTGTCCTAGCGTGGATAGACTTTCTGCATGACCGCAAACAGCGTGGTACTACCGCCTGGGAAGATATTGGAAGCATAATGTATTGTCTAATGGTAGACCCTGCTGCCATATGGCATCACAAAAATTGTGACGAAGTCCCATGTTGCTGATCTGACTTCTGCCTCATTTACACACAATTGCAGGGTCTCAATTGTTTCTCTTACTATTGACAACATAACATGAATATATCATTTCTCACTATTAATTTTTTTATTAATTTGTGGACCTATATTATTATTATTATCATTATTATATATTTTTATTTAATATTTTTTATAATTTTTATTAAAAATTATTTTTATTTATAATTTTATTATTATTATTATTATTATATTTTCGCCCCCGGGCCCTATGGTGTGGGTCATTGACCTGTGCCCTGGTGGGTTAATCCCATAAAAAAAAAAGTACAAAGTCGTCACTTGTACCTGTGACTAGTGGGGTACCACAGGGCAGTATATTGGGCCAGTTGTTGTTTGTCTGCATCATTAATGACATGCCAGAAGCTATACACTCCTTCATACAAATGTTTGTAGACAATGCCAAGTTAATTAGGGAGCTGCAGAAAGATCTCTATGAGCTTCAAGAATGGTCGAGGAAATGGCTGCTAAGAGTCAATGTCACAAAGTGCAAAAGGATGCACCTGGGATGCACCAACAGTAAGGAGGCATATCACATGTCCCAACAGGATAAAGAGATTGCATTAATTGACACCGAATGTGAAAAGGACCTGGGTGTGTATGTCGACAATGAACTTAAGTTTTCAGGCCATTGTGAGATGAAGGTGAATCAAGCAATGAAACTAGTAGGTCTTATAAGATATCTGGATGGTCCGTAGCTTGTCACGATCTTCAAGAACGAGGTGCTTCCCCATCTGGTCCCGAGGTATGCTAGAGACTGTCATTAAATGTCCAAAGGAACCACCAGACTGGTGCCTACTCTACAAAATCTCATTTCCCAGAGACATTGGAGCGCCTCCAACTACCTAGCTTGTACTACAGACGAGTGAGGGACAACCTAATCGAAGTGTATAAACATCTCAGAGGGCACCAATCGGTCAAATGTACATACTTGGAGCTGCCCCGCAAGGGGTCACAGCTCAAGGTTGAAGAAGCCACAAGTCTGGAAAACTGTGAGGGCAAACTTTTTTGGAGTGAGAATTGTGAACTCTTGGAACAATCTGCCAGATAAAGTTGTGATGGTACCATGTGCGAGCTCATTCAAGGCCAGACTTGACCAACATTGGAGCAGGTTCCAATATATTCAGGAGCCAGTGCATGCCCAGTACCTGCCAACAGTGCGTATCAGAGATGTGACCGACCGCCCAAGCGGCTAACGAGCCGATCAGTGGTGAAGAGGATAAATGTAAAAGTAATGTGAAATTAAAACTTCCCTAAGTTAAGATGAGTCTATATACTGTATATGAAGAAGACTTTAAAGATATTTATAGATGAAGTGTAGCAACATGGTCTGGACATGTGGACAGTGCAACAAATAGAAGACAGACCTTGAAATCCTCACAGGTAAAAATGTACAGTAGAGGTAGATTAAGGTTTAATTGTAGGATTATCTCTTTTTAGCATAACACAAGCTCACACAAATTAATATTTTGGGGGAAGTTATGTCATCAAACAAATAATATTTTCAATGTGCCTTATTTACTTATGGTATTTATGAAACACTCCATTTTTTTTATCTGGAGGCATCCATGTAAGACTGAAAGAATACAGTACAGTACAGTATTCTCTAGTCTGGGACTTTTGCTAGTTATGTGATGTTCATTTTTTATAAATACAGAATAGCACTCTTTTGTTTTCACCAGCATAAACATCATGATAAACAATCCTACCTTACGGAGTCCTTGTAACAGCATAACACTGGTCAAGATCATACACAGTCCCCCAAAGGCTGTGACACCACCAAACAACATCAACGAATACCGAACTGGGAAAGAAAAAAGAAGGAAAAAAAAATGGTTCAGTAATCAGCTGACTAATCACATGATTATTTAAAGCAATCCAGTTATTACTGTCAACAATGTGGTACAGTATCCAGATACCTACTGGCCAGAAACTCTTAGCGACCAGTCTGTTTCATTCAATAAAAGTCCTGTTCTGAAAAGCACAGGTACACCTACTTCCTGAATGTGGTACTGCATGAGTCACCCACCAGAGGGCCTTTGTTTTTATCTAGATGGTTCCATTTAAACCAGTGAACAATACTGTACAAGTTATCTACACACTGGCCCTACCCTTTGAATTGCAGTATATCTTTGTTATTTGGATAATTTATTTCAGAGATGAAGAAAAGCACTATCACTGCTTCAGTAAGTTCCTTGACAGACACTGAGAAGAGAAAGAGGAAGGAGCTCAGTAGTGAACAATAGGGAAGCATTATACAATAGCTCAAGCTTGGTACCTGTACACCCAGGGCAAATATTTCACGAGTTTAATACAGGACAGTATTGTAAAGTTAACCGAGTGATATTTTATAAAAGAAAAATGATCTGTCTTAGTCTTATTCTGATTGTGAAAGAAGTAAGGCCATGCATGAGTAGACAAAGTGTTTAATTATTTAAAACTTTAGAAACTAGACAAAGTTATGTGAGAATGTTACAAGACTCTGAAGGTGCTCGCATTGACTTTGATAAAGAAGCATTTGTGGGATTTGCTTCCAAAAGAGTAAACATGGAAAGAAAATCATCCCAAAACTATTGCAATGAAAGTGGATCACCCATTTAAGATTTAGTTGTGATGGAGAAGCTAATTCATGAGTCAGTCTAAGATGTAAAAGGTCTATACTGTACTATGGTTTACAACTTGTGGCTATATGGTCCTCACGGGTCACCCAGTAAAGACACAGCACTGTACAGGTATTGCTAAAATTAAGTAAGATCACAGAATTACTTTTCAGGCTACCAAAAAATATGATCTTAGCTACAGAAAAAGGTTTCCAACTGAAGCCAGGTGTAAGGCTGCATGTGTGTGGTATACCGGTATGACTGTTCACTACAGTACATTACAGGTATAGAAAATGTGAAAGTAGGAAAGAATGCTGTGTTTGCATTTGTTAAACATTCTGGAAGGATATACTGTACTATACTGTACTTGGTGTATAGTTCTTTAATGGAAAATGATGTACAGGTATTGAACCAAGTGAAAATATAGAAATCACCCAATCAATAATAAATAAAAAAAAATTCATTATCTTACCATGTGGACTGCCAGAGTAAACAAAGTCATATGAGAAGAGATAAAAGCCATAATGACTGGAACCTGGGGCAGCAAGGGACAAGGCATAGATGTCAAACACACCAGTCACAATAGCAAACAATCCTTGAATCTGTGAATACCAAATAATACACATAATGTACTGTACCAGGTATCTCACTTGTGGTTAATATTTACAAGACACTGAAAAAAAGGCAAAACAAAAACAAGTTGTAACATAATAAATAAAACCAATATTTTTAACGACTCTGATTACCTAACATTACAGTCACACTGTAACTAGAAATCTACGAAGTAAGATGATCTGATAATTAAATCTTTAATAACAATATTCAGTTCAAGAATTGTATAATGAACGAGACATCTTCCTAAACAATTTTAACTTAAAAAATTAATTATTCAATTCATATAACAAAATAATGTTGACAATCCTGTTCCTGCCAGACATTAGATTAAATAAACAATTTACATTATTACTTACAATTGAATATGTGGCAGCGATGAGAGACCCACGCTGAACATTGGTGATGAAAGCATTAGGGAGAATGGGAATAGATAGGCCAGTTTTGGTATGGAGTGTTTCAGTGAGGGTTGCCACTGACCGAATAGTTGTTGCATGGGAGACCCTTGATAACCGTGAGGTTGTTGATAATCCACCTATACTGCCAGCTATTGATAAGCGAGGCATTCTAAAAAACACAAGGCAGCAAATTATGACCCTACAGTGGCAACTATATTTCATGTGCTACAGTATTATTTTCAGTCCACAGCTGCAATAATCTATGTATTAACTCTCTCAAATTAACAGTTAATATTGGACTACTGTACAGTGTGCTACATTATTCTAACTGTAACAAATTCTCCATGATAACACTGAATACCTTCTGTTAAAGATGCTTGAAGATTAAAGCACTGCTAACAAATTCTAAATGTCCTACTTAAGTACTAAATAATAGCTAGTAAATGTTAGTAAATTAATAATAAAAAAAGAATATGTACAATCACTAAAAAAGTGATGAATGATGATAAGGATGAAGAGGATTAAAATGACATGATACAGTGTTAACATGCCATGACAAAGTGACACCAAGATCCTACTTCATAACTGAGTAGTGATCAAACAACTCTGTATAACCAGCAACTCTAAGGATTGAATTCCTAGGCCTATGGTCCTGAACCGTGTGCCTGTGAACTAAAAATTAATAAATGAGAACATTAGATTATCCTTCTCAGAGCCACTTTCAACCTTCAAGGAAGCACTAGAACAAGTTGGAAAACTCTTAATACTTTTGAATAAAGCATCCCAGAGAGCAACATTTGGTTAACCAAGGTCTTTCAAAGTATTCTTTTCAAGCTCCAATTCACCTGCTGAACCCTAAACTATCACCAGGAATTCCACCATTTACTTATGCAGGATTCAGTATTACTTCCCGACCCCCATCAGATTTTTTAACATGGAAAATCCTTGGGTAAAATTACTTGGCCTCAAAGTTGAATTACGTTACATTAAATATTTTAGCCACGTAATCCCACCAGAGTGTGATCCAACTACTGTAATAAGTGTTGAAGGCTGGTTCCAAAAGACTCAACCCAACTTAACAACCAGAAGACAACGTTCTTGCTCCAAGTTAATTCCACTTCATACTGTAACCAATTACCGGGTAAGTCCTTAAAGTAATAATAAATTTTTCTCCTTTCAGGGACAACCATGTCTAAATTAGAAACCTTCCAACCATTAGGGATAATAAATTTAAAGCCTTCACTAATCTGGTTGAACCTGTACAGTACTGTACTGTACTATGTTCCAATTAGAAGAGAATCCTTGGAAGGAAATTCACACTACAAGTGCACGTTAACAAACATCTTGTTATAACTGATGGAGAAAATAAACAGCGGTCAGTACTGTATCCCTAAGACAGCTACCTCCTGAGGGAAGCAATCCCCAAGGTAAAAGGCCTTGAAGTATCAACTTGTACAAAAAAGCCACTGTGGAGTGGAGGGGTGAACTAGATTTTATAAAAAAATAGAACAAGTAACCACTAAAACAACTTATATTTACTTCCAGTGCGCAGCCCAGTTCCAGATACTATAGCTGGCTTTTAAATCCCCTCAAGGATTCCAGAATGTCCATCATCAACCATAACAGAGCACATAATGAACAATAAAAGGTGTGAAGAAATATTATATCACTGTACAGATTATTTTACTTACCTTACCCATTATTTTACGTATCTACTGTACAAGTTTCTGACATAAACAGATATTTTCATCCAACACCAAACTTATTTTCATTTCATCACTAACCCTTTCAAGAGTTTACAGATTTTACATATTAAATAATGTATTAGTGGTAAATGTTTCACAAAACAAACAAGAAAGTCATATTCTTCAAATAGCTTCACTTTTTGTGGTTATTTTCTTATGTCTAATGTTAAATAACACATTATTGTACTGTATACGTAATGTACAGAGTGTTCAATACTTAACTCAACCCCACAGATGAGAATAAGAACAAGTTTATTGATGTACAGTAATCAAAATGTTAATGCAACCTTGTGTTTTTTGTTTCAGGTACTACCTTTACAGTACATATAACAAAAATATTGAAGATCACTACTATCAACAATTAATGTAAATGTACATCAGTTTACTGTACCTATGGCAATTATACTCAATAGGTTGTATTATCTAATGTATTGAACACCCAGTAAGATCCTCTGATTCTATCCCTCCACATACTGTACTGTAGTTTATAACCTGGCTACAGTAATTAAAATTAAATGAACAATACAGTACAATAAAAAAAGAGGCAAAAGCCAAATAATTAGCTGCCAACATTAATTACCATATTAAAATTTAGAAAGCATAATAATTAAAATTTGCAAAGCCATGGAGCATCATGCAAAGCAAAACAGAAAAAATGCTGGATTAGCCAAGACAGTGAGATTTTAATTACAATCTGGCATGGGGGACAGGTTCCCCCAAGTAGTTCACTTCCAATCTGTGCTGCGACATAATGCACAGTGTTGAGGTGTGCTGAGCCAAGTGTCTGGAGAACCACTGACGGCTGTATACACACAAGAGCAGTCATCATTGTAGCAAAAAATAAAAATAAAATATTCATGCAAAATAAAAAAGTACTGTATTTTCTAGCAAAATATTTCAAGGGCCTAACTATAAAAATATGCCTACTGTACTATAAAAGAACTAAAGAAGTACAAGATACAGTAACTCAAAAAAGTTACAGAAATTACAGTATCAGTCTACAGTACAGATCATTAGCTGCAATAATACTGTACTGTACTACAGTACAGTGCATACTTCAGTACTGTACAGTATATAAAAAAGCAAAACATGCTTTTGTAAATGCTACAATGTACTGTACCTGTATACAAATTCAAAAGGTATCTGAACACAAATAATAGGATTATAATTAATTTGGATGATTTTGATGATAACTTTAAAAAGATAAACGGGGGTTTGTAAGACTGACTGAAGCAGTAACTGTAAAAGTTAAATTCAGGATCTGTCACCATGGATTTAGGTTTTGACAATTTCAGTCGTTCAGAAGCTAGATGAACAAGTGTGGGAGCCAGCTCCCACACTTGAATGGGTTTATTAAATGCATTTCCAAGGCTTCTCACACCAGTCGTACACATCATTAGAATGACTGAGAAAATGGCTCATTGTCTTATTATGAAATATTTGTGTAAAATTTTTATCAATTCCACACAGCTTATACCAAGGCGCTTCTCAGCTCATTCCATGTTTTTTTTTTAAATGTACCTAGCCTGGATGTGTTCTGCACACAGTACTGTACAATAAACTGTATTATAGGATACTAAAATCATAATTTTTTTTTTATGATATATGGTAGCTTATTAACAAGTTTAAATATTCTCCATAAAAACATTAAATTACGCATTTTAAACAGCTTCAAGTACTGTATGATACAGTTTTAATATTGAGCAAAATATATAAATAACTACAGTAGTACTGAAGTATAAATTTCCATAAAAATGACCTTAATACTGTTGAAATAGTTTACAAATTTAACCCAGGCTAACACTGGTCAATGTATATTTTGCCACTTATAAATATTTTTTTCCAAAACGGACTTCAAAAGAATTATTCTTTATGACCTTTATTCTATAAACTTATGCTCTTGATATTACTCCACAAGAATAAAACTCCTAAGGTGGGATCCATTTTTCATATCTTGGTAAATGTATCGGAAACAAACCAAAACATCCTGTGAGCCATTACTGTACAGTACTGTATTTTAGATCCATCAACTAATACAGTATCTATCAAACTTCTGTTGGTTATAATGCCCCTCTATACACAGTACTGTAGAGTATGATGACAGCCCCCAAGAGTACAACGAATGACAGTAGTATGATGCTTCTGCTCCCTAAATGCGATGAATTAACACCTAGAATGTGATGTCTCAACCTTTTTAATGTGATGACTGATTCTCTTGCGCTTGATGACTTTGTATTCAGGGGGTTAAGTCACCATACTTAAGAGGTTACTATCAGGTCTAAATGCAATGTAAAACTTGACACTAAGAGTGAACCTAACAGTGTGTTTGATGGTGATGTTCTCAAAAGATCAGTCCTGAATTAAGCAACATTACCAGTATTAATACAGTAAAGTAAGAAATTAACACACACACGCCACATACTGAAGGTTAGGAACACCTGTATAAATATAATCAAGAGCAGCTCCACTAAATATAATCAGTGGTGACGAGCAATGAATTGGAATTGAACTTTGGCACAGTGGCTAGTTTATTGTGCACCATCATATTCATCCTGCGAGTGGAAGGACAAAGGGGTGAAGATAAATTAAAGTGTGGTGGTACAGCGGTAATGAATGTACAGTATCTCTCACCAATATGAGCCCGGACACATGTGAGAGGTGTTATCCAGTGTGACCCTACCATACATCACAGGTCCCAGACTCCAGTTTCCTCTTGTATTAGCACTGGATAGACCAATCATTTGAACAGCTAGTTAGCTGATAAGTGGTGGGAAAAATGTACGGTAGATTGTTTAATTGGGAGTTTATTACTTAAATACACAGGAGCCCAGGTTAGGTCATTTTAGGTCATTTGCGTGGGAAATGTCATAGAAGTGTCTTAAACTTGTCTAACTATAGGAAAAACACATTGCTCAACTCGAGCGCCATATTGGTCGAGAATGCAAATTAACTGTTCTGTTCATTCTCTCTTCCATTTTTGTTTTCAGTTCTATGCAAATAGTATCTCCAAATCCTAGGTCAATTCCATAAGTTATTTGTGTTTTTTTTTCTATTTACCCAGTCTGACAACTGCTTTTTATTAAGAAAAAGTAAAATTGCATTTGTTGCCACCATGCAATTCCTAACCTAACCTTGCTTCGGTTTGTGGCAACAAGTGCAACAACACAAAAAAGTGTAACTCAAAAGACGATATTTATTAAAATGACAAAAGGTGCACACTTAACTAGGGTGGAGGATGTGGGTATTCCCAAGACAGGAAAATTTTCGAATTTCTACACTAGGTAGTTTAGATGAATAAGAAAGGTAAAGTACTACCAAAATCAAATACATATAACATTATTTTTCCAATTAATTTGGTATGTCATTCCCGTAGGGTCAAGATTCGAGTGATTTGAATGCGTCACAACAAACAGAAATAATATCAAACAGACTACAAGTGGTGACTACATAATAAATACATCACGTTTTACCTGAAGATTCAAAATTATGTTAAAAGGTAGAATTAAGTTATCCTGAAGGGTAAACAACACAGGTGAAGGCAGGTGTGGCTCAGGTACACCAGACACACACTCCACGGAAATGACTCGGGGCCAATACTGAAAACTTGTGTCCTGTAGGTGTATTTACTTCTTTATTTTATTTTGGTAAGCCATCTAATATGTATCGTATACTTATATATAACTTAAATTTGGCAAAACGAATAAATAATTTGATTAGTTTTTAATTGTTTTTAATAATTTCTAATTTGTTTTCTGGAACGGCCCTGACCTCCTAGTTCTTCACCTGCCCGCAAGATGTCACTGTATTCATTCACTAAACAACAACACCATTAGTTTCCAACAAATGAAATATATAGAGGAGTTTATATATATTACTTCAACTTAATTTGTTAATACATTTTCTACAACAAAAATCATTTCTGAATTAGATTTATAAATAATAGATATAAACTGCTTTCATTAATTTTGCTTTACATAGTGTGAAGGAACAACACTCTCTGGCACCACTCTTAAGTTTACCGCTAACACGAGAAAGAAACAACACTCTCTGAACTCTTCTGTTTAATAAAAGGTATACGGGATTATGATAATTACTGAGGTTATATTAAATATGATATATCGCCAGACTTAACCAGCAGTTTATGACAGTTTAATAGATATGTTGTACACTGGTAAATAAATCTTCGGGCACCTCATATAGCCACTGCAGATTATATTTTTTTTATTTTTTTGCTGAAATAACCCAATTGGGTTTTTGAACATGGTTTAATTATGATACAGACTGAATAGTTATTTTTTATACTGGAACACCGACCTGTGACAGGCAACAAACTTTTTTCTTAGATTAGGTAATACTGTAGGGCCATATTCATGTCATGACATTAACCATGAGGCTAATATTGAGGACTAACCAGCCAGGTATTATTTTACTTGAGGACATGACGTGCCCCAAAGTTTTTAACTACTGGAACATTTAGGTTAGTTTAACCTTGGCCTACCGGGGGTCCGGCTATGGGTTAGGTTAGGTTTTGTTAGGTTAGGTTAGATGACTCGTTTTCTCCCAGGCTCTCCCCCATTATTGTTGGGGGGGGGGCAAAAACGATAAATTTCCGCCAAAAATAAAGGTCAGATTCGTTTAAAACACACCAAAATACACTGGAAAAACATAATGGTCAACCCCTAGGGACTCATGTCCTAAAGTAAATATTTACCATTTTATTTTCTTACTATATTTTCAACAGTGAGTTCTGATATGATAATCATTTCTTAGGTAAATGATGAGTTTCGTAGATAATTAGGCACTTAGGCAAACATATTGATGTTTTGATCAACGCCAGTGTGCCGCACTGTCTGGGTGGTTGCCCTCACCTCCTTTAAAAGCATAAAATTATACCATATTACAGTAAGTTCTTTCTTTTGGCTAATATTGATGACTATACCGCCGACTTATTTGTTTTGATGTTTGCGGTATAGTCGTCAATATTACCCGGTTAAGGTTAGGTTAGGTTGAACTTTTAAAGAAGCACTTTTAACACATTGGCCATAACTACGACAATGTCCACTATGTGAAACTGCAGTATTTTCAAATTCGTTTTCTATGATAAATCATCATTGGTAAATTCATCAATACAGTAATACCTTTCTGCTCAATATGCCCCCCAGCTATGAAGTTAGGTAAGGTTAGGTAGGTTTCTTTGGTTAGGTTGGTGAGGTCTCCTAACGAATGTAAAATTGTGTTAAAATAATTTTATTTCTTGTACAAAATATTTTGAGTTTTGCTACAAATGGAAAATATATTTCAGTTTATGTCCAAATTGAATAGTGAAACTGGGCACAAGTAATGATGTTTACTTGGTGATATAAATTTGAAAAGTGGAATTTAATGCACTTGAACTTGAAGAGAAGACAAAGTTGGATCTAGTTAGGCTTCTTTTTTTTTTTTTGTACCCTCATTGTTGTAAGTGGTAGACCTTGCCTTTCACATTGGCTTGGGAAATGATCTTGGGCCTGGTTGGTGACCACTGCCCGAGAGTAAGATCTTCAAACAATTGGAGGAACTGTAACTCGTAGTTTTTAGGACGATTTATTTATTTTTATTTTATTTTTTTGTCTTGAACACGAATCTTATTTTGAAGTGTTAGCCCCCGGCACCACCATGTATTTACTTTACATTACGTACATGATTTGTCACAGATAAGACGAACGAACCAAACCTACCCATTCTAGGATTGACGTCAGTCTACATTAGTTTGGGTTAGTTTTGGTAGTTTAACTTATTGGAGCAGACACTACATACGTATTTGCACCCAAAAGCTATCCTGACCTCTGTTGAAAGTAGAATGAGCAGGCACCTGATTATTTACCCAAACATGTCATAAAGTTCATGTGCCAAATACAATACAGTACTCACAATGGACGAGTTGACGGTTGGAATTTTTTCATAAGAGGGCAGGTTAATGGGTAAAGAAAATGCTTAAATTCACTTTGGTAATGATATTTTTAATTAAATTGTGCCAAAAAGTGTCAAAAATAAGGGTTAAAGTTGCTAAAAAGTCACGTGACTGTGAAAAGCTCTGTGATTGGTTGTGATGTCACTGGTTGGGGCGAGCTTCCCAGCGAGAGGCAGCCAGCTATAGTTGTCCAACCTTCTCGGCTGATTGGCTCTGTAAATAAATATTATTAGATAATTAAATGTGCTTTACTGTGCAACAGTAATACTATTTTGAATATACACTATAAATATTACTAAGCACATGAACTAATCCAATGGATATTAGCTGCCCATACAACAAATTTCATAGTACTGTATAAACATTCCAAACAATATTGGTTTTATTTTGGTTTTGGTCATCTGGGGAACCTTAAGATTCTAACTACAGTATTTGATTAAGTACTTTAAACAATAAGACACATTATCTCTACAGGATTTCTGAAGCAAAAAAATTTTTTTGATTGCATAAGAAAATACAGATATGTTAGGTTAGGTTAGGGTATGATGAGTTATAAGGTTAGCTTAACATACATCAGTAAGGGCGGTAGTAACTGAAAACTAGTGATTTCCGATAGAAATGAACGTCTAAATTGTTCGTAACACATTGCAAACCATCAGAAAAAAATATAAGTCTGCATGTCTAAGTACAGGGATGACCCAAACTTAAAATTTACCCAATATAGACTATCTCGAATCTACAGTAAGCATCCAAATACTAATGGTAGTTAAAGTAAAATTTTACCCATTAATTAATATAAATGATGATATATCTTAGTGGTTCATTAGTGAATCATCAAAACAATAACAGCACTATGTTGTCTTGCTAACTAGCACCAGGCTTTCTCAAAACAAAGTCCAGACAATGTCATTACTTCTAAATTTACTCGTATCTCCATCTTATACTGATATACTCTGTAAATGCACTGAAAAAAAAAAGAAAGTCTACCAGGTAAGAACACATGACAGCTGAGCTGGTGTGAACATGGGCATTTTGTATGTCTAAAAGAACATAGAATGGAGGAAACTGCAGCGGGCCTATTGACCCATAGTGGGCAGTCCCATTTACACCCAACCCCTATCGCTGATATATCCATCTAAACTATGTTTGAAGCTGCTCTTCACGGCACATTTTTCACTTACGAAATGTCCATGGCGTAGACCATAAAAATACACCCTTAAAACTTACCTGAACGTGATATATGGGGTCTGAAGAGGCCATCCCTTCTACTACCTCTGACTGCAGCGATGAGTTTGAAACTACAGTAGTAACGTCATTGCAAATGGCGGCCTGTTTCTAGAGAAATAAACTTATCTCTACTATCATAGCAGGACTTTAAACCTTTATTACAAATTATATATACCGTATCACTCTATGAACGTGGCAGAGTGTATTTCTTGTGTTTGCCCAGAACCGTCAACTTGTCCATTACTAAACTCAAAGGTTTGAATGTCCAGTGATTAGTGGTATTTAAAGCCAGTACAATATCTGCACCATTGATTGCAAATATAGTACAGTACAGTACTCACTTCCAATTTTTGTAGAAAGCTATACAGTATTGGTCTCTCTTTAGACACTGGTATTATAAGTGATAGGTTCTTTGTTTGGAAAACTAATTTTGAAGAAAGTTGGGAGAAAGATCATAAAAAAATCTCAAATTCGATTGAATTTTAGCAGCCATTGACCTACAGTAGTTAGGGACTTCAGAATGCTATGGTTATATCGAAAAAAAATTTTAGTACTGTACTTTTTTAATGGAGGCCTTGGCTCTATGTTCACTGAAATATTGTTGTACTTATGCATAATATGAACTTATACAAAGTACATACTGTATTCTTGATTTTATGTACAATAATGTACAATATCAGTATATTAAGAAATGTAACTTTTTAATCTTACAGAATGATAAAGCAAGTTCCTCAAGTAGATGAGGCAGTAATGGTTAGGTTGAAGCTGTCACCATGAGATCAGCAAGGAAGAAAGAAAGTGAGGACCCATGGCGGGTAAGCAGTTGCATTTTTGTAAAAGATTTTCTAAAATTCTTCTAATGATATCAACAGGTGTGTGGATACAACACTCACCTCCTATCCTGATCCACTTAGTTGTGAATGATAAGATAATTTTTTGGTTGGGAAGTCAAAATGATCAGGTGCAGTGCCTGTCATACTGCCTGTGTGTACTGACAGCTTAGTATTCAGTATGGTTTATGTATACTGTACAGTAGGGTGTGTCAATTTTGTCAACATGTTAAAAATCAAATTTGGTAGTCAAAATATTGTGCCTCTTTATGTCTAAACTTGAGATTAGCAAACAAAAATGAATTGAAATAACCCTCACCTACATCAATTATACCTTAAAGTTTCAAATATCAGTATTTCAACAAATTAATGAGACTTGATTAGAATTATTCACTTGATATTAACTAATCTCATGTAAGCATATGGATTATGGAGTATTTTATGGTTCTATAGCTTGTGTACAATATGCATGTCAGAACATGAACATGAACAGGCTCTCCGTGTGGGACAGTTTAATTCTTGTTTTGACTTGTACCAAGCGTGAGGATAAGGCGCCCGGCTCACTCTCCTTCTAGATATCATAGACGGTGGTTTGCTCTCATTGCACTTGCACCTACTCTACCAGACGAATTCTACATTTTAATTATTGTAAGTAGGGCATATTGATTGTCGCAGTTACTTATATCATTGTATAAAACATTATGTTCTAAGAAATTATTATGTTATTTCTGTTACAGCATTTTTGATAAACAAATTGATATTTTTTGAAACAACAATTGAATTATGAAACATTGAAATATTTTTCTATTTGTCAGATAGTGTGAAGATGTCAAAATTGAAGACAAGAAGTCAGTTGTCAACCCACTTGAGCCTGCTAGTTGGTAAAGGGAAGGAGCTTCCTGTATCAGAACTTCCAACAGTGAGAGACATGCTAAGATTAGGGTTACTCCTTCGAGAAAAAAATGCAAAGGACAGAAGGAACTATACAGATAAAGAACTCATAAATGACATGATAGTCCCTCTTCTGCATCAATGGACAAAAGCTAATGCACTATTCAAACCACCTGTGATTAATCAGTGTCGAACTATTGAGCTAAAACTAACGAAATTATGGCACAAAGCAGTTGAAACATCACTTGGTAAAGGAAACTTGGCCAGGAAAAATGAATTTCTGCACACACTTGATACTCTGTTTGACATTTTGACCTGCAAGTGCTCCATACAATTATGTTCTGAATCCAACTGTTCTCACTCAGGTAAGAGAGAAAATAATTCCCACATTGATTGTGGTTGTCCTCGTGAAAAGAAGATCCCTGTTTTAGAGCTTGAATTTATAAAGGCACAGAGGACAAAGGCAGAAGGCCAAGGAAGTATGCAAATGGGTTCAATAGATTATTCAGAAACAAAGAAGCAGATTGCTAATGCCAAGAAGAGAGAACAAATCCGAGAGAGGGAACAAAAGAAGAAAATGAAGAGTGAAGAAGCCATCCAAAGAGAGGAAGAGCTGTGTCAAGATGTTTATCACTTCTTTGATAGTTCTTCTGATGAACAGGAAGCAACATCAGATGATAGTTCCAAAGAGCCATCTGAACCTTTACCAAAGAAAATGAAATACAACACAAGAAATATTTCAAACATTGCTTTAGCTAGTATTCGCCACCATGCTGGACTTCGTGAGGCTGCAGAAATTGCAACTGCCGCTTGGATAGATGCAGGCCTCATCAGCCGAGAGGATGTATCTTTGGTGATAGATCATAATAAAATTAGAAGAGCACAAGAAAAAATAATGAAGGAAATATCTGATCAGCATGAAAAAGATTTAAGCGAGGGAGGGCTCTCCTGTCTTTTGTTTGATGGAAGAATAGATGACACAAAAGTTTTGCTAGAAGTAGAGGGAGTGAACAGAAAGTTTCCAGGTCTCATCAAAGAAGAACACTACTCTGTCTGTTCTGAGCCTGGTGGTCGGTTTTTGTTTCACTTTGCTCCCGAAACTGAAGTAGAAGGGAAGAAACATGCAGAGGTCATTGCTGATCATATTTTATGTTGGGTTCAGGAGAGAGGACTTGGCAGTTCACTGCAGGCTGTTGGTGGAGATTCAACTGCAGTGAACACCGGATGGCAGGGGGGTGTAATGACGCATTTAGAGAAAAAACTAGGAAGAAGACTTGTTTGGATTGTATGTGATTTACATACAGGCGAGCTACCTCTTCGTCATCTCATCCAGGAACTTGATGGTCCTACAAAGAGCAACAACAAGTGGTCAGGTCCCCTTGGCATCATGCTGGATGAAGCAACACAACTAGAAATAAATACAACCTTTCCAAAGGTCGAAGTTGGCCCTCCCCTTCCGGCGTTGTCTGAAGGAGTCATCAAAGATCTCAGCACAGATCAATCCTATGCTTATCGTATTGCCCAAGCAATAAGATCAGGAGAAGTGCCTCAGTCATTGGCTCTCTTGGAGATTGGACCTGTCAGTCACAGCCGTTGGTTAACTACAGCTCTTCGTTTCTGCAGGATTTGGATTTCCAAACACGAATTGAAGGGCAAAGTGCTGAAGAATTTGAGGTTAATTGTTGAATTTATTATTGGAGTTTATCTTCCCCAGTGGTTTAGTGTGAAACTTAATCCTATGTGGGTGGATGGGCCCAATCACCTTTTGTTTCAATTGCAGCTAGTAAGAACACAGAGGAAGGTAGTGAGGGACATCGTGTTACCTGTGGCAAGAAGGTCCGCTTGGTATGCTCGATCAGAAGCAGTTTTGCAAGCAATGCTTTGCAGTCAATGTACCAATCTCCGAACCGAGGCTGTAGAAGTCATTCTAAAGATTAGAGGAACGCTAATAGATGACGACCAGTTGGGAGACTGTTCGTTTCATTCAAGAAAAGTTCCCCCAATAAACGTCAATGCCACCAAATTGTCAGAATTGGTTGACTTGAGTTTGGAAGTCTTAGAGCCACCATTGACAACAAGTCTAACTAGCCAAGAATTGAGAAACCTTAAAGAGACTCCAATGCAGGTGCCGAAGTGGCCTTCCCACACTCAAAGTGTGGAGAGATGTGTGAAAATGGTCACAGAAGCAGCGGGCCATGTTTACAGCCACGAGAGGCGAGAAGGTTACATCAAAGCACAAATAGCAAGCAGACTACTGATGACAAGAAACCAAAGCAAAGAGAGTATGAAGGCATTGGTTACTTTCAAATAGACTACGGATAATAAAATATAATAATTTGAAACTTGAAACAGTAACATGTGTGCAAACGCTGGTTATGTTATAAATTCACAAATATGTACATTTAAAAATCCATTTGATGTAGGTAGGACTTATTATAAAAAAAAATTTATGCCAGAATATTGTTTTGCATGCTTAAAGACTACAATAAATTGCTACCAAATTACTCGATTTTCAATTTAGCCAGTTCACCCCCTAAATTGACACACCCTACTGTACAGTACTGCCCCAAATGACCATCAGGCCATTTTATGAAGTTATTTGGGAAAATTGTTGGGTGGTATAGAAACATGATCTTAAGCTAGGATTCCATATATGTGTCTGTGGTATGCATTTGTGGGATGCGTTTGCGCTAAATTGCCCTGAAAAATGGACACCTTTGTTTCCATTTGCATGCAACTGTCTGTTAGCAGGAATAGGGCAGGAAAGATGGCTCCTAGTGCATCGAAGCTACGAGCCTTATATGAACAGGATGATTTGCTATTAAACATCATGGGTTTGTATAAGATCATGTGTAAATCAAGGGAGGGAGAGACAAGGAAACATAGATGGTGGGTTCATAGATTGCTGCTGAATCAGACCAAATATGGAGCCTACAATACTCTGGTAAAAGATGTAAGCTTGGATGAAGAAAAATTCAAAGAATATTTTCATCTGAACAGACAGCAGTTTGCATACTGTATGTTCTTTCTCTGGTTGATGAGGAGGTTTTGGTGAAACTGCAGGAACAGCGAAGTCATTTGCACAAGGCAGCAACTTGCAATATGTATAAGGTGAGTCATGCTTATAAACAGGAAACAATAGGAACCGTAGATAAATATTAAGCGACACAAAAATTAGTCTTCCTTTTATTGTTTCAATGAACCTTCATTTTAGAACACTTGTGTCAAAAATGTATGGATCTCGTAAAATGATAAATAACGATTGATGCTTAATGAGTTAAGTTATGAAATAACACTTGCTAGGTTTTTAAATGTATTATATAAATGCATTACAAAAATAGGTTGGGATATATTCTGAGTGAAATCAACTTCTCAGTCTCCTAGACGAGCCGTGGTCACCATTCTTGACCAGACCGTATAAAAAATTGCCTCAAACACAATATCCGAGAGAAATAATCAAAATAAGTCACTCGATTTCCTCACCGTGTTAAGATGTATAAATACTGTACCAAAAATAAAATCCCCTTAAGTTGGCACTAATCATAGTGTTCAGTCACTAGAGCAGGGAGAACCTGTTGAGACTGACTTCATCCTGTCCCCATTTTGGCAACCTCTTCCACCTGGGGCAAAAGTGTTGGTTACTATGAGTGGAAACAGGCTGCTGTTGACTCCCACATAGCTGATGGAGAACATTGAGTGTAAGGATGATCCAAACAGGCCTTGGGTCAATGCTAGGCATTTACATGCCTAGATATAAAGCTAGACTTCGCATTCTGGACTATATCACAAAAAACTGTTTTTTACAAAAAAAAAGTCTTTTTTTCCTTAAGGAATTTTGCTGGGTGAGGAGAGCAAACACGGATAGTGACATCACAATGTGGGATTCCGGCGTCCTTTTCCATGCGGTTGTGTTTTCAAATTCAATTGCTACAGGGAGCGATTGACATGTGCTGCAAATGCATAACGCTTACGCTACCGCTAACACAACCTTGCCAATGGAAACACCGTGCACATTTCAAAATAATATATTTTTGCCGCTGCCACGTGAATGGAATCCTGGCTTTACACAGTTAAAAATATTGGTGTTTCATGGATACACATACAAGTAATATCTCCCTTAGCCGGAATCCCTCAAACCCGGAACTCTCCGATAGGTGGAATTGAAATTTTCTGAGGGGCACATTTCCGGAAAATTCTGAAAAAAAATTCCTGATACCCGGAAAATTGCAGGGATGGAGATTTTTCCGGGTTTGAGAGATGATAATGAGGCGCATTTTCTGGAAATTCTGAGACAATTTTTCCGTTACCAGGAAAATTCCGGGTATGAGAGATTTTTTTCCGGCTTTGAGAGTTGTCTTGTTACCCGGAAATCTCTTATTCCTGGAAATGCTCTGCACCAATTGTTCCGGCTAACGGGGGTATCACTTATATTTTTTTTTTTTTTTCTTCAGATTTCCTTTCACTCTCAAGCCTGGAAAGGAAACTTCCAGAGGGAGTTTGGCATCAGATACACTCTATTAATAATAGGTAGAGTGGTACCTGTACTGTATAATCACTTGGCTTGCTGGCTTCTTTCCACCTTGTCTGTAGGCTTTAGATTTTCTACCCTGACCACTCATTTAAGTAGGCAGGGTGTTGGCTGACCTCAGGTTATGGAAGGGATAGATAATGTTAAAGCAAGAATTTATCTTTATTACCGTACTGTTCTGAATATTCTCTCTAATTATACAGTACTGTACTTTATGTAGGTCTTGTATGGTACATGGACAAGAAGACAGTGACATTTAGCTAGACAGATAATTAGGGAAGTGGCCAGATAAAATTCTATTTTTCATAGTTCCGTTCCTTCCTTCTCACATTTATGGTGTTCATGTCTGATATCACAGCTTTTAAAGACACTAATTTTTTCTTCAACACCATAGACATTATTGTGTCATATATTGTAAGGAGGAAGTAAGCTTATTCCCTGCCATTATAAGTTATAACTAAACAGTCACCTGGAGTTTATTGATCTATGTGATGAGTAGACTCGTTTGTTTTCAAGACAAGATTGTATGAGATATATGTACAGTATACTTTGTCTCTGGGTAACATATTCCCACTTAACAAAGATGGGTTAAATCAATAGCAGTATACACCCCTCTCTCTTTTTATGTCATTCTTAGTATCTAACAACTGTAATATAATGAGTAAATATTTGTTGTATACAGTACTATATATTATCAGTTTTTTTGTTAAATAATATTTTCAAAATATTTACAGTTCTTCATAATTTCAGGGTTGGAATGAGAGGGAGGCCAGCCTCAAGGACTTTTTATCACCTGAGGTGTCCATTGAATGGTCAAGCAGTGATGAAGAATTTGACCCAAAATCCTCTAAAATTACTTCTCTAACTGGGGTAAAACTCATTAATTTATCAAAAAACAAAACACCATCATTAGATTTTCCAAAGAAATTGGAAAAGAGGAATGCTGAATCATTAAACATTAAGAGTCAGATAGACAGTGTGTTTAATGAAGGGCCCTGTCACAGAAATTCTTCAGAATCAACTGGAAGGTTAAAACTGGATTCCAAAAGATTAGATTTATTACAAACACCAGTAACAAAAAATTTTGCCAACTCTGGTGAGCAACACTTGCCTTCAAGCACTTTGGAGACTCCTAAAAAAGTTAGATATGACAGGAAAATATGTTTTGAGAAAGACCTCACAGTGTCACCAATCATAGGTTCACGCAGGAAAATTAAACCTAAAAGACAGTTGTATGAATATTCTTCACCAACAAAATCCCCAGGTAATGACATAAACAACATAGAGCCAACTTCCCCCATTCTTGGATCACAATATAAGCAAAGAACTGTATACAAATTTAAATGTTTTGACATAAACCTCAGTACAGGTATTAATTTTACATCTAAACAATTACATGATGGTGCTGGAAATTTAAAATCACAGAGTGAAATAACTCAAGATGTGGCTGAGACACCCAGTGTAAAAGCTTCTATCACAGATGAGAATGCAAAGTCAATACTCAAAAGGAGAAAGCTCAGTAGGGGATACACTCCGGAAAGACAGAAAGAAAGACTCAGTAAAGAAAAAGCTAAAGTAGAGGAGAAAGAATGTAGTACCACTGTTAAAGAGTCATCATGTGTGTATAATGAATCTCAGAAAAAAGATGCTGAAAATAACTTTATGAAAAGGAAAACAAACCTTGACGTAGACAATAAGTCCAACAACTTCAAAACCTGTAAGGCTGAAGAAAGAGATCACTGGAATATGAGAAGGAATTTACAAGATCACAATCTTGGAGAAAGAACTTCTAGATCCTCATTTTTTAAAAATTATTTTCTCCAACATAAGGAAGAAACATGTGGTGGTGATAAGAATTGCATTGAACACAACAGTTCACAGAATGGTAATCCAGTGACTAAAGTGGCTGATAGTCAGTCTGACGTAGAGATTGACAGTATTTCTTCACCGTTGAAAGACACTCCTTCCCATAATGGGACGCCTTCTTTGGTAAGTAACTTAGGAGTTGTAACACTCATTTTTGTGTAAGATAAACATTATATTACAGTATTTGAAGCACAATACCTGTACTGTATGCTGCACTACTACATATGAATCAACTGACATTTAAGTACTCTAATCTTATCCAGTACAGCATTGAACAAACTTATGTATTTGCCATTGAAATATTGATTTCATCTTTTTGCTCTGTCCTGTTAATGTTATATTAGTACAGTATTCCCCCCTCCCCCCCTCCCCTCTACCAGCTCTTTAGTGTTCCATAAACTATCCTCCCCCCTAAGAGAAGGTAACTTACTTTACTTTACAGCTGTTTCACATGAGGCTGACTTGGGTAATATTGGAGTTACATTCTTAAATATCAATTATAAATATATGTTTGTTATTATGGGCATAGCAGATTAAGTACACATTTTCTATTTTTGTTTAATTCTCTTATTAAATATACACACACACACACATGTATTGTACCTGTATATCAGCACTAATATCATTATCCATAACTAAATAGAGATAATTTACATTTACCCAGGAAAGTGATAATCCAAGCATCTCATGTGGGTCAGCTCCATCACCGCCTCCATCAACTAAAGAGCAGCAGGAAGTCCTGAAGACTGGTTCTGCTTGGCTCAGAACTCTTCAACACACACCAGAAAAACCCTCAAGTAAAGAGGACACTGAAGGGGCAGTGGAATCAGCAAAAAAGAAACCAAAGAAGTATATTAAAATCATATTACAGTACTGCATACCTCTACTCTCGATTTAACGGAATCTGATATAACTCTTGATGTAGCGACAACAACATTAACTTGGTGCCCTGCCAAGTCCTCACACACACACACACGTTCATTAATTTATGGTAAATGAGTCACTTAGACATTAATTAATCATTATAGCAGCAGGATATAAAACTTATTTGGGTTCTTCAGGGGCTCAGGAACGGAACCTATTTTCCCCCATAAATTATTACCATCAGTATATGATCGATCACTTAACAATGGCTTTTTGAGGTCCTTAACCCCATCTTATAATGGTCATTGCCTTTATATACATTTACTTAACTGTGTAAAACAAGTTGTAACTCTTTATTATCCAATTTTATTATAAGTACCATAACTGACACATGACAGGGTGGGTCCAATGACTTCTGAAATTATATGTACAACTTGTGATGTTTCGGGAGGGTTGGTATGCGTGTCTTCACCCACCGCCATTCAAGTATCCAACACGGGGTGAGTTGGCACATAGGAGTAAAATAAACGGTTAAGTGATTACAAACACATAGTATAAGGAGATAATACACATATATCCCAATACCTATTGTCCATGGTCTCATATTGTTTCACACAGAGTATGCACAGATACTTTTTTTTTTAGCTACTGTATATGATCATTTGATTAATTTTCTGTACCTGGGGGTTTATGTGGTTAAGGACCAAAGCATACTGTACTATATACCATTGAAGAGAAAGGTGCTTCACAGATACAGGTGGTTCCAAATTGTACAAGCACCTTGATACTTTCATTTTTAACAGTTGTTTGTCTCTGATAAGCAAATCCAAACTTTGCAATGCCATCATAGACGTCAAAATTCATCGTTGCCTTGTGTCAACCTGAAGTTCTATTAAATGGCATGAATGTGGGACTTAAGCTGCCAAATATGTCATCAGATCAAATCCGGGGTCACATTGTGTTTCTACACCTCCTGTGGTAACCCATGTCTCCAAATGGCAATGTTGCAGTCGTAGTATCTCTGAATGAATCACGTCCTTTGTTACATGACCAATACTCATTCATTCATAAACAGCGGTACTGTACTACTATTGCGACATAGATGTTTGTGACACAAGTTACCACACGGGGTGTAAGAACACATTTCTGCAACTGTACCCTATGTAAATCCACTGACCTATTCAGATTTTACATGACCCACCCTTGTTTTCCCATGACTTGACCTAAGAAAAGTGACTATCACTCCCCTGACTATAATTTATGGTCCCGTCTTAACGAGACATCAGCTGCTACTCTTTTGTTCTCACTTAACACTTGGCCTAAAAAATAAAATAAAAAATTACTTGTGACCATTGCAAAGGCTCAGGCCACTCCATGAGCTATATGTGACCCTTTATGATGAAACTTACAACCCTGGATTTGTAAGCCCCTGCACTAAGGGAACTGTAAGCTGTAACTGCATAAATAACATTACTATATTTCCACAGGGATGGCCATGGATGGAGAACGCGTTGTCTAATACAGTCAAGGCAGTCCAGTGTTAACATATGGATCCACCAGATGTCCCTCACAAGTTTGCATTGTCAGAAGACTCCATCTTTAAAAAACAAATTACAAACTGATTTAAAAGTATTCAAACTTTCTTCTCCTGGTCCTGGAGGAGAATGTTCCACACACAGTTCTCATAAAATTTTCTCATCCTCAGTGGTTAAAAATTTGGAAAATGTTCTTATAGAAAGTCCAAAATCATCACTCGGTGCTTCATTCTTACCAAGGAAATATATGTGTCTGAAGATTCTAAAAGTTGGTGTCCCAAGTAATGCAGCTCTGTGTAAGGTCATCTTCTGTACACCTGAAATATTTCAGAAAGGTATAAAAATGGAAAATAATAAAGAAGGGAAGCATGAAGAGGGAGAAAATGGATCCAAAGGAAAATATTTAGTATATTTTTCTTTACAAGAGCAAAAATTGACCATCGCCCTACGTGTCAATGATGAGGTTAAAGTTTATTGTCCGTGGTATGTATTTTGAAAACTTATTGTTTAATAACTGACCCTAAAGTATGTAAGTGAAAATTACTTGACAGAATGATCAAAATTCAATATACAGGTGCTCCTTTACTTAAGAATGTTCAACTTACAAACTTTCAGAGATACAAACATCATCACTGTGGGGGGTTACCTGACAGAACAGGTTTTATGTGGATGAGACTGGATTATTTTGAAGAAAATTCCAGATAGAACAAACACTACCAAAGAGGAGAAAAGTGAGCCAGGTTTTAAGGCTGTATTAAAGGGTATAGCTGTACTAAATATCCATAATCTTTTAATTTTTTTACATTATGTTTGGTATCTACAGGAGTAAAGTTGGACTTACAAACAAGCCTCAGGAATGTAACTCATTTGTAAGTGGAGGAGGACCTGTAGTCCCAGTTTCTTAAAAGTTTCTTTTTTCAATGTTAGTCATCTATGTCAGTTGGGTTAATACACTACAGTACAGTACAGTAGTATAAACTTGGGACTAAACAAATTACTTATAACAGCAGCAAAATTAGACAAAATAGCTTCTTTGTAGATCTCTAAACTTCACTCTCAACCCTGCACGTGAGTCGACTAAGCTCATGCATCGCTGTGATGTAAGATCCTACATGCTTCACTAACCAATGATGTGCGAGCAGATGAGAGTACTGTTTATACAAGTTTTTCTAGGACTAACTGCAGACTAGGTTTTGTAATTTAATTCCTAAATGTAGAATTGCAAAATTTTCACATTATGGTAACTTGAAGGAGGTAAGAGCCCTTTTTTCTCCCTATTGTATGAGGGAGAATCCTTTCGGGGTGAGTACTGTATAGTAAACCTCACACATAGTAAACTTTAGAACTGTGGTTGGACTCCTTAAAACTGGTGACCTAAGAATATAGTGTGCCAATAATTTTTTACTTTGCAATTGCTGTATAAGGAATGATGTTGTAGCCCACCATATTTAAAATGGGTATGGAGTGTGCCCATTCTTTCTCCAAATGTTTAAAATCACCATTCCAAGGTGCAAAAATTTTAAACACTTAGCCACAGACACTGTCTAAACATTTTGATGTTGGAGTCTCCACAGTATTTCTGTTGACATAAGTGTTGTTCTCCACTGTTTAGTAAGAGGATTTGTTTAAAATGCATGCGAGATATTTGTCACTGTAGATCTTAGTGATCTCAATGCTAATATACAGTATATCACATATCCTTCAGGCATACTTTAGGTCTTCAGTCCCACAGCACCCCGGTACTCTTTACATCTCACTTCATCATGCAGGAGGATCAACTTATGATAAATAAGAAGCAAGAGATGAAAGATTTATACAGCTTTAAAAATGAAGAAAACAAAAGAGGCACAAAGAGCTTGCTGCCATCCACAAACAAGTCAGGAACCAAGTGGAAGCGTGTCCTCACCACTTGGACCTGCTCATGTACTAAAGGTGGGTGTAGTCTTTACTGTACAGTATATCAACACTTCTTTTAAGTTCTGGACATAGATCTGCTTGGTCACACAGTACAGTATACTAAACCTTTCTTATGTCTCATAGTGTATACAGTGGGCATATTGAAAAGACTCCTGTCCATCCAATCATGTTTCTGTCCTTAAAATTGGTCTCAGGATTGCACAAAAGAAATCCAGTATATACTGTATCAGTGAAATATTCTTTAGGTGGATTCTGGAACTATTTGATGGTACTGTACAGCACTGTACAGTACACTATTATCAAGTTGTGTTCATTTCAGTATGGGCATATATGTTTTATAAACACAACTCTAGTCTTAGGTGAAATAATGTCTCACTGCCAAGTGTCAAAATAACACTTGAGGCTTGAGTATCTTAGGAATTTCTGTTGTAGCATTATGTGAAATAATTCAGTAATTGAAAAAAAAATCCAACATTGCTCTAACTCATCTCAGACAGTAGCACTCTTCAGTACAGGCAATGTTGGTTATACAATGGATCTATACAGTGTATGCTAGATCAGTTTTACAAAGTTAAAAAATTAACACTATTTACCACTATGCGATGGCTAAACATCTGTTTTATGACAGTTGCTACCTGAATGCTTTTCCTGCATTGTTGTTGCCATGAAAAAATTATGTGAAATAACTCACAATATTCCAAGATATGTTAATGCAGTCTCAGAATGGTGTAACACGTGCAACAGATGCGGGATGCGTGGCAGGTTTTACCTGTCCCCGGTGACTGCCAGGCTAAGCAGTTGGGCTTTGTCATGTCGCCCAGAGGATGGTTTGCATGTGGGAGAAGTTATTTTTTTTACATACAATAATATATACTGTACAAGTAAATGTGAGGAATAAATGAAAATAATTATAATACATAAAAAAAAATACTGCATTGCCATTTAGCAATCTTGTCACTGTACACGAGACAGCGGAGCCGTGGGAACACTGCTCCCTTCCTCGTTCTGTGTTTGCTCCTACACATAATAAATGTTTAATTCCTTTATATTTGTTACCTTATGAGAAAAATAAATTTCTTGCACATTCTGTATGAATGATTGTGTGTACATGTAACAGAGTACATACAGTATAAAAAAATTAAAATTATGTATATCTACCCGAAATTGCAAGTTGAAAAATAACGATTACTAGGTTCACAGCTTGACCAACACTCACCCCCCACCTGCTCCCATAATCAACACTAACTCACAGGGACATAAAAATGTTTATTTTCTTTGTTTCTCACCTTATTATAATAATTCCTTTTCTTACTTTATTTCTTTTGCAAATTCTGTATGAAAGATTGTGCGTGCATTTAAAGAAGTAAAATAAAGTAACTACAGGTATGTCTATCAAAAATAATTTGTAGTGACAGCTGGGAGATCACAACTTACTACTGTGCTGTACACATACATATAATGTAAGGTAAATGAAAAAGAATCTTTATTTTGAATAAATTTATTGATTTCATGTCATTTATAAATTATTTGAGTTATTTAAACATTATTTAATCAGTATAGCAGCAGGGTATAAAACTTGTTTGGTCTCTTCAGGGGCTCAGGAACGAAACCAATTTTCCCCCATAAGTTATTAGTATACGGTTGATCACTTATCCATGGCCTTTTGAGGTCTCTAACCCCCATCGTATAATGGTCATTGCATATTCATGTACAGTACAAGTAGTATACACTTAAATATAATTCAAGTGTTATTAATACCTGTAGTAGTACTGTACAATATAGCCTAAGTGGACCTCTCCTTGTCTGTCATACCTCAACACTACATGTTGTTCTGCCACATATTCTTTATCTCCACATTGTTCTTTTTTTCATTGGTCTTTTTACAAACATTAATATGTATTTTAGTGTCTTTGTTTTCTTTGTTTTGTTCCATCTTCCCTCTTCCTTGTGTATGTTGTAGACAATCCTCAATCTTTTAGCTTCAAATTGTTTACCACCAATGTAAGCAAGTGGTTAAAACTTCACCATAAGTATTTATATTAGTTGATACTGAAGGGTGGCTGAAACATTAAAATAAGACTATACCACCTACTAGTGAGTTACCACAGAAGTAGATTAAGATTACAGTTACATTTTGGCTTCAATATGTTCTCAGGTATGGTTCTCTCTTCTAATTTTATGACTTGCATAATGATTTTCCAGACACAGCTGTGTTACCATCTATGTGTAAAACTCATCTTTATGCAGCTGCTCGTATACGTGCTCCAAGAGTAAATATTAAGTTATTGCGCAGTCTTCACACAAGTTTCACTGATGTTAAGGACACACCAGAAGGAGCTAAACGAAAGGTAATCATCACAATAGTATTCTTAAATCCTAACTAACTGACCAAGACAGCTCCTCTATAAATGATTTCTTTCATTGTGTCAGTTTGTTTAGCCAACAGTATTTTCCCCTCCATACTGTATCAAATCAGGTGCTGAATACAGTCTTTTAAATAACTTAGATTGTTGACTTCTTTGTAGGTCCATGTTCATAAAACCCAACAATAATGGTAAAGTATTATCTAGAAAAATTTTCATTTGTTTTTTAATTGAAGTTTAATATTCAGATAACCGCAGTGCTATATAAAGTCCATCAGTGCATCCATTATTTTAGGCGAGGATAAATTTACATTCACTAAACTTTACACCCGTTCCTACACTCATACCTCACTTCTATCCTCCACATTCTATTTCCCATTGAAAAACGCTTCTCAGGTCTTACCTATTACAGTACAGTAGACCCTTGCCATTTACGGGTTTATGATTCTCTAGTTCGACGATTCGTGGTAAGCAGATGGTGGCTAGCTTGTGAGCCTTTTCCTGCAGCGCAACAAGTCACCCCACGCACCCGCAGCGTCTCCCCTTCCTCTGTTTGCAGTCAACCATTGCCTGTGACGTAGCATCTCATGTTGTGCTCTCAAAACTTTAATGTTTCTTTGTGAAATGGCCCCTAAATGACTGCCTGGTATCAATGCAAGTGACACTTGTGGAGTGAAATGTAAAAGGCAGAAGTCAGTGATGACCCTGACAAAGAAAGTTGAATTATCAGATAAGTTAAAAGAGGGGATGAGTGCTGCTGCAGCTGGTCAGTTGTTTGGTACAGGTATACAGTAGTGCACTAAGGTAGCATAAGTTTCTTTTCGCAGTTTTGCCTATTTGTGCCATTCCTTGGAACCTAACCCCCGCAAATAACAATGGTTTATTGTATTTGAGTTTATACTCTAGGACCTTTCTAGTTCTTCTTGTAGTTGGTTCAACAGTATGCCAGTACAGTATAGTACTCAAACAATATTAAGTGTACAGTATATCACTTATATACAGTGTTATGAGTGCAACTTCTTAAAAATAGCAGTGCTACTGCTGTTTGGGCCAAAGTGTAGTGGTGCTACTGCTACAGCTATTCATTTGGAAGAGTAGTGCACTGTTGTTGCCATTACCCCTGATTCTACATTTGAAAAGAATTAGAAATTAGAATAATAATTCCCCAATGGGCAATATGTATGTGTAATTTGTACAATTACAGGCAGTCCCCTATTTACAAAGGTCCAGCTGCATCGAGCAGTTTCTCAGTACAGTACAGGTATGGGACAGTTTATCCGCATTCCAGAACACTCCAAAACCTGGCTATGTTCTGTTCTGGAACAAATTATTTAAAATGAGCCCCAAAAGTAATTCCCATTCCGAGCGGGGCTATTTCCAGCCTTTCCCCCACGTATGAGCTCTTTGTTATGTTATGGTTATTTTTCAACTTGTAATTAGGGTAGATACCATATATGTAATTTTCTTCATTTTCTTTTTTACAGTTACTGTACATACACACTCCATCTTACATACAGAAAATGAAAAAAAAAAAAAACTCGGGGTATAAAGTTAATGTTACAGTGTACAGTTAAAGCTATTTTTAGGGGTGACTCTAGTGATCTGAACATTGGCTCCACAGCCAGTTACAGAGGGTTTACTGTAAATTTTAGGCCTAGCACTTCAAATTCTATAAAAAAAACCTATCTGGCTACCCCCAGTTTCCAAGCATGCTGGATAAATGATCCCATACCTGTACTGTAACTTACATGTGCTCCACAACATGCACATCACTTACCGGTAATTATTATTATTGGCTCATAATAAATGTGTTCACCCAAAATTTTCATTAAAAACATGTTTTTTTTTAGCATTTTAAGCCATTTTGGGCAGTGTACTTATTTTCATAGGCACGTACCTGTATCTCAACTTTTATAATGTCAGCCGATGGAAAAGTGTGATCCAGTTTACAAAAAATTAATTTACAAAGGGTTTTCAGGACATCAGGGAATGCCTGTATTAGAAAAGAGCATCAGTGCACATACAGTACAGCACAGTACAGTATTGTAAAACACAAATATAGATCAGTTACTGAGCAGCTGTGAAAGGAAAAAAGGCTGTATAATGTATATAAAATAAGACCACAAATAAAGCAGTCATAAGGAAAAAACTAATACCCTGTATACCATTACATTTCCTATATCAGTGTGCTGTACAGTATTTATTATTGGGGTATAAGTGCACTGTACTATACACCCTTTATTTTTATTTATTTTCTATTTTTTTTACAATATGTTCAGTACAGGTATTTACACGAGTAAAGTTGGGCTTACGAACAAGCTTCAGGAATGTAACCCATTCATAAGTAGAGGAGCACCTGCATGTATTATTTATTACTGAAATAAATGTGACTACAGTACTGTACATGTATATGGCAGCATCAAGAACTCGGTGCTGATCAAGCTAAATAAAGTAGAGATGTAGTGAAACAGAGAGGGGGGGGGATAAAGAGCAAGTGATTAAGGAAGTTGAAGGTGATGTTGACAGGTGTGGTGTGGAGTATGGCTGGCCAAGGTGGTGAAGGTAAGTCCCCTCTCTCTCTTCGTCCGTCGTGTGTTGCTGCTCTGCACACCCAACATTTTCTGAATGCTAGAAATACTATGTCTTGTTTAAAACTGAAGATATACTAAATGTTGAATATACAGATACTGTATATATTGTGAATACAGAATAAGAGGTACTTACACTGATTTTTTATTATTTTTGAAGACTAGAGTTCATCCTACCTGGACAATTTTGGAGGCTATCGAAATATGTGCCGGGATTTCAGATGTGCCCGTCACCATTACTATACGAGTTCACCGCATCGTAAGTCACAGGTAATTTACATCTTTCTTATTCTTCCATAAATTCCAGAATTCTTGTTTCTTATCTGAAACCAAATACAGGGTATTCCAAAGAAAGCCAATATCTAAGATATCACTTTACAATATACAGTAATCTAAGAGTTGTTTCTGCTTGTGATCTCATGCAAAATTTATTCTCAATACTGAAACTATCTTTGTTTATTCCAATATCCTTCTGTGTTTATTAATCTATCTACAGTATATCCTAATGTCACTCCTGAACAGAAATACTCATTCATAGTTTCTGTTCTTCATCTCAGTTGAAATTAATAAAACAGGTAAGTGAACTAATGAGGCATCATCATCTTTAAAGTGACATGGCAGTATATGTACAGATTTGCAGTAAAGCAGAATTAAACCATGGTACAGTAGCTGTGTTCCAGAAAATGATACATTAAAAGGAAACTAATATGGTTTTGTTCATCTTGTGATAAATTAATGAAAAACAATAATTACAATTATGAATATCACTTAAGTAGCTGTGTATGTGCATGAACTGTACCCATTTGTTTCAGACTCATATTTACCTTAACTTTTCCTTTTCTATTAACTTAGAGGAACTGAAGGTGAAATAACAGATTGGGAGTTAGTGGGTCAAGATGCTGCTGGAATGTTCTGCACAGTAAAGATCCCCAACCGTCCCCTGGCCAATAAGTTGACTGGTTTACTGGAAGGAGAAGGTGACACACATACATTGACACACGTTTCAGTACATCAGCGCCTTACCAATACTCAGTAAGTTGATCTGTAGTGGTAGTGACGTAACACTTTGAGTAAACAATAAATTGGCCTTTGATTAGAAGCTTTTCTTTATTAAGCACCTCTATCTACCTTCCTTCTGCTCCTAGTGTGCTTGGTAGTACAGTATTATTGTTAATGGAGCCATATAGTATAGAAGTATCTCACTAAGTCATGCTAGACCAATTTGGCTGACCCTTTATATTGATTGGTAAATGCTCTCTGAGTCAATAATCAAAAGGTAATGTATTTATAGATACAGGAAGATTGATGGAAAGCTATGTTGTAGGTCTTATGTTAATGTCTTGAACTTAACAGTAACCAATACAGGAATACCCTGGTTATCACAAGGGATGCATTCCAAATAGTCATTGCATTTAATGAAACTGCAAATGTTGGGCAATTTTCCCCATAAGAATTAATGTAAATAGGGGGATGCACTCCCAGCCGACAACTTTCACAACATATTTTTTTATACATACTCCTCATTATCCAAGGTTATTAGGAACAAGGGTTGCATGTATACTGTAGTACCAGTAAATGTGAGAAATAAATAAATATTATACTAATAAATAAAAAATACCACATTGCCAGTTGGCAATAGTTTCACTACACACGGGAGACTGGAGTGGTGGAGATCTCCACCACCGCTCCCCCCTCACACATTCCAGGCGACTCCAGCCAACAGTTGCAAGAAATGTTCATTATCTTTATGACCTTATGATAATCGTTTCTTTCTTCTTTTTCTTTTTTTGCACATTCTGTATGAAAATTGTGTGTACATATAATAGTAAAAAAAAACAAAAAGTATATCTACCCTAAAATTTAAGTTAAAAATAACAATAACAACCACCACCACCAACAACACCAATTACACTCACCACCAACAACCCACCACCACACTCACGTGACAACCAGCCACCATTACCTCACACTACCCACCACCACCACACTCTTGTGACCACTAGTCACCACTAAGTCACACCAACCTCTTGCTGCACCCCCTCACTCTACTCCTGTGGCCACCATCACCCTCATGCTGCATCCTCCAACGATTGCGCCCTAACTACTTTAGACATAAGAAATGGTTATCTTTATGTTTTTAACCTTATGATTATTTTTTTATTTATTTATTTTGTATTTTTTTGGCACATTCTGTATGAACAATTGTGTGCGCATGTAACAGAGTAATAGAAATTGAATAAAAGTACATATATCTACTCAAAATTAGAAGTTAAAAAATAACAAAAGCAACTCAAAGGTTGGCCCAGTAGGGGAGGGGTAAGGTGATGTAGCGATGGTGGTTTGCGATCTGCCTAGTTCACACATAAATGTTCATTATGTTGGGCTTTACTTAGTTAGGCCTAACTTCACACAAGCGTTTTTGCCCTGCATGGGAGAAGGCATGTGTTCACACGGGCATGTTTTTCACGCTTCAGTTCACCTGCATCTGACAAAAATAATCACAAGCACTTCCAGCCCCTTCCATAGATGCACCACAACTGATACGCGGGAAAAACATACTTGTCATACAAAGCATTTTTTCACACCGTGGTTTGGAAGTACAGGTGAAAGGCATGGGGTGATCGTATCGAGCACGTTCTCTGTCCCATTGAACTTTATTAATTGCTAACTGTGCAGATTAAAACCACTCGTGTGTGAAACAGGCTGTATGTCGGAATGTGAGAGCTGCGGCTAACCCTCCCGGTTTGAAATATTACTGTAGGTTATTGTAATTTTTCATTTACAAATAAGTGGGGTATGCTTTGTAAATATCAAATAAGGATGTTAAAATATCATTTGTGGATATCAGGGTTGTGAATAGTGAGGTATTCCTGTATTAGGTTTGTATGATGACTCCTCCCATACCTCATTACTTTCAGAAATCCTGGTTTGTTCTCTCTGATATCATCACTACACACAGCCTACCAGGCAGAAGTACGCAGTAATAAGCTCATCTACCCGCTTCTGCAAGACAAAGCTTCTTGCCCTACTCAAACGTATTGCTATGCATTTACTGTCTCTTTAGGATTCACTGAACTGTTGCATAGTGGGTATGAAGTGGTTATCCCAATTACACTACCCTATTGGTCATTACAGGAGGCACTGCAGGTGAGTTTGTTTTGATGAGTACAGTATACATATCTGTATTTATACAGAAAATACTGAATACACTCCGTATCCTATTTCTTTAGCAACATTTATGAATAAACTTTGAATAGCAGATGGGGATCAAAGGCATAGCTTGGGCAAGGGGGGGGGGTGACAGCCACCACTGATCTGGAAAAATATCTGGTTCAGTTGGAAAACTAGAGTAGAGTCCACTTGAATTTTTTGTACATAATTGTGCTGACAATTTAAGTATCTGCCTAAATGACTCGTGTACTAAATGTACTGAAGCAGTTACTTTCTTTGGCACATTAGAAGGTATACCTATATTATTTCTTCACAGTAAGCATATTCCAGCTTCATGCATATTCAGACATATGTAAAGACCTTGGCTTGTCAGAAATAACTTTCAAGAGAACTCAGTGCATCTCAACTTGTAAAAACAACATTTGTAAATGTTTCAAAATTAAGGGTTGATAAATTTTTTGACACATAAGTGCGATGTGGAAAATAGAAGGTAGGGAATGGGAAATAAAAACTCATGACTATCAGAAGAAATGAATAAAAAATAATAACGAATACCTGACAAGTCAGCAGCAGATGGTCCTATCATAGATGGAAAGTATGATTTCAAAGTGAACGTCTTTTACAAGGTACCTGACGCTGTATGTACACAGGTCTCGGAGTGCTTTAACAGCTTCCATGATACAGCGGTAAATTATAGTTGTATTTTACCATCATATTATAAGTTAGACAAAATGCACTCACACAATTACAAAGGTTGTGTGAAATATACAAAGATGACATTTGTTATCAGGAAGCCTGTATTCAAGAATACAAAATAATGACATCACTTTATACAAATTAGAGCAGTGAGTTAACTGACAAGGAAACCCCTAAAACAGAGGAAGAATTACTAAAAATTTTACATGCAAGGCTTTTGTTCCATGCATTTCTCAATAAAGTGATACTTATACGACTTTTTCTGACTATTCTTGCTTCAAATACTGTATTGGTGGTGAAAGATCATTTTGTTGGATGAAACTAATCAAATCTTATCTCCAGCCTTCCATGTCAGAAGAATGTCTCTCAAACTTGGCTATTCTGAGCATTGAACAGGAATATGCACGCTGAATTATGAAACAGCAGTGCATGGTTATTGTTTTAAATAAACTTACATAATACAGTACAGTATTGTAGTCTAATTTCTATGATCCCTATACTGTATTTTGCTTCTGCCTAACCTAATAGTAAATAACTAAATCAATACTGTATTCCTTTTTATTACAAATTTATATTTTTATATTTTGAGTATTTCATGATGTAAACCACTGTCCTGTCCAGTCCAGTTTATAACCCCTCCATTGCCCCCCCCCCCTCCACTTTGTAATAAGACCACGCTATGCCATTGATGTGGGTAACAGTTTTCCATATATAGAATGAAAAGAGATATAATGGGGTTATACTGGATACAGGTGCTTGAAGGAGTGAGTTTGGAGCAGAACAGAAAAAATAAGGCACACTGAAGTGGTATGAAAAAAAAAAGAAGTAAGCTAAAGTATGCTTATAATATTCATGCCTGGACTGTCATATGACCAGAACAGCTGTTGACAAATCACAGTGGCACTTGGGTCATGGTGGTGTTATCAGTGAGCATGTGATGTTGTGGCTTGTGGTTGTGTTGGTTGCTGAGTAAACTGAGGTCTGGAGTCTCGAACATTAGTAATCTTCCTGTTAAACTGGAACTTTTCAATACCTTATTTTTTGGGGGGGTGGGGTTGGTGAGAAATTTTGGGAAAATATCTCCATTCTGGGCATTTGAACAAATTTCCGAGGGATTGCATTATGCACCAATATGTCTACAATTGAACACTGCTGTTATGTGACTGCATGGGATGCCTATGATTGCCTGATGTATCTCACAGCCTATCTCTTCACTCTTAGTTCATTGTCTGCTGCCATTGTACAAGCTTGTTCACTTGCTTATTGCTATTTTCACATACCATCTAAGTTGTAAAGGGTACAGTATTGTACCAGCATATAATCAGCCAAGATTACTGTTAAAGCAGTGCTAAGGCATAAAAAGTGATAACAGTTACATATAATGTACAGTACTGTACATAGCAGAGTAGACCATGTATTTCCACTGTAACCTAGTGTGTAGAGGGTGTATGTACAGTATTCAGTGCATGTGCAGTCAGGAACATCTGCTACAGGAGATGGTATAGGACAAAGGTGGCCATCCTGTATCATCATATCACTCAGCAGTAATTGGGAACCTGGATGTTAATCGATTTGTGGATCATGTTCCGGGGTAATGGTTAGCCAGTGCAGTTGGCGAGTTGTCCGGTCTTCTCGGATTATTCCTTGACACTGGGTCATGCAGCTCGTTAACTCAGGTGTGGTTGTTGTGTTGGCGACAGCTTCTACATTTTGAACAAATTCACCCCTAGGTCCAGCCATCCTTGTACATGAGGGGCAACCATTATTATTATTATTATTATTATTATTATTATTATTATTATTATTATTATTATTATTATTACTTATATTTTGTTTATTTTCACTATAGTTTACACATACAGTACAGTAGTGTTTTTATAAATAAATACAGTTCTGTTTCTATCTGACTGCAGTCCAACACACAAACATTCACCAGTGCCTTGGAAAATTTTGTAGATGTGCAATTTTTTAAGGGGATAAGAAAATTTTGTCAATGCCCTGAAATCTCTCAAACGCAGAAACGCTCTGCATTAATTGTTGCAGCTAATGGGGAGGTTACTGTATGATGAATATTCTTCATAACTGAGGATGTAAGAATGACAGGTAACTGGTTGATTTAAACTGAAATATATTATAATGTCCAAAACACATAGAAATTATACTCAAATTCTAGCTTAAATAGATATATTCAGATTGTAGCTGTTGGGAGATATACATACTGTACCGTATAGAGTTTCTCCGAGAAAAAAATGATAATTATCGTAATTTCATCTTCTAACATTCCTATTTAATTAAGGTAGAGGATCAATATAATTTTAATACTATGGTATACTTTATCTTTTTTATATCAGCCAATCAGGTGCACTGTTACATTTTCACTTATGATGGACATTCATCATACAAACTTGTGAAAATATGACCCCAGTCCAGTTTTATTTTATCTTGTCATTTTCCATTTTTTTTTAATTGGGTCCTAATAGACCATTTTGTGTTGGTATGAACTGACAAAGAAGACTGGATTTTGTTTTCTTCTTTGGTGTATAAATAGGTTAGGTAGAGACTGGAGATTTAAAATTATAGAAATCCAAGTTAATGGTGGTTTATTGTAGGCAGGGTATGCATTGAACCAAAGTTCTTGTACATACTGTACAGTACAGTATTGTCTAGTACTGTACTCCAATTAGATATGGTGCATATCCAAGTTAGTAACTGATATTTTATGTACCCTGGAATAATAAATAATTTCAAACTGGGAGTTATCATAATTTTTGGTGGTTAAGAATTGTCAGCAATTTATAGTAAGAATAATGGAATTTTTACAGGTTCCTTGTGATGGCCAACGTGGCAACTTGAGTCTTCACATCCTTTACAAAGTCGATTCTTTTCTTTATGTTATTGACCAGTCCATAAAAACTGAAGTGATACCACATTTCCAAACCCACGAAAGCAAGAAAGAAAAGGGGGAAAAGTCGGAGCACGAGAAGAAAGAAGTTGCTGAAGATAATACTGATAAAGAAGAAACTGTGGTGGGGAAGGTAATAGTGGGGGACGACACTGCTCTTCCACAGGGCATATCAGAGAGTGGCACTGTGATGCAGAGTGCTCTTGTGAGGGATGCTCTAATATGGAATGGTGAGTCTTTGTCTTTAACTGGATATGAGGTCAAAGTTTTTTCTTTCTTTTTTGTAAGTCCTTTCATGATGTTGGTAGGTTCAGTCAGGAGCATATTGAGACTCTCCACTTGCTGCTAATCACACTCTTACTTGTGTGATGACGGGATCATTTAATATAATTTCAGAGGAATCTATATTATTTCCCTCTCTTTGCTCATTTTATAAACACTTTTTTATACCAAACCCTCTTATTTATGTGAGGGTTGGAGTCTTAGAGAACCTGTGTAGATATGTCACATTCACACAAATTGAACTTAACCTATTATGAAAAATTGTTGGATGTGTTCCTTTAGTCTCAGAGCCTCCTAATATGGCACTTTTTAAATAAATTACACAAAGGTCTAGAATGATGGATGAACATAACTCAGCCTCACTCACTGTTGTGCTGTACATATTAAACTCGGTTACATCATAGATAAAAAACACAGCTGGATGCTTCGTCAAGTGTCGTGTAAATCGATGATTCATTGGTCCTGCCTTTTTAACTCAAAGAATTTAGACATTTTTATCACTGGTATAGGTAGATTGCTTCCTCTTAATCTAGACTTGGATGTAATTGGCTGGTCAGGTTTGAAACCATTGTTTTAAGTAATTGAGACTAACAATACAAGTACACAGCAACTCAGGGGTGCCGAGATAAATTTCAATTGCAGCACAATGTGGGTGGACAGTTTACAAACCTTTATCAGAACTTAATAGATACTGGTTCTGAAAAAAAAATATATATATATATCTTATTTTTAATTGGCTATTTTTGTTAAATCCAGAATGCGACGCCTAGCTTTTACCTAGATATGCTAATGCCTAGCAATAACTCGAGCAGACATGATTTATTTAAAAAAATTTAGGTGTAGAGGTGTGTGACATGTTATGTAAAATCTGTGAAAATAGGAACGATATTAATGAATGGTTTACTGTATACTTTACTGCACTGATTTCTTTAGAATTATAGTAGAGTAAATATAAGGATCCTGTACAGTATACATAAAAATAACTATGTTCTCTGCTTATGTAATATCCTCCTTTGAAAAAGAAAAAATACATCAAGAGAACTCAACAGAATATAGAGTACAGTACTGGGGTATTGGAAAATGTCAATCTTTTACCTTTTAAGTTTTTCCACATTACTCCATGGACAAAATTTTTCACTGGACTGGCACTGTCATTCATGTAAGAAAGTTATTACCTAGATTACTGATAACTCTTGTTGCCTAGGTTACCTGACCTTTGGAAGGCAGGAAAAGTACATGAATAAAACTCTGCATTGTGATAAACTAACATTGTTATTTTGTTGTAGACATATATGTTGGTTTTTAGATTCAAGAATGTAGATATATATACAGTACAGTATACAGTGACCAAGAATTAAGAAAAGATTCAACTTGAGCCATCTTGTTTTAAGAGTGAGAAATAGTATGTTGTCATTAGTATGATTAGAGTAAAAGAATGCGGTGGTTAAATGAATGATTCTATGAGTATAAAGTGTGTTTCATTGGAAGTAAAATTTTTCATTCATTTAAAAAATAAAAATTGATGTACAGGAAATGTAATTGTGGACGAGTACAGCTTGATACAGCACCAGGAGAGTAAGATGAGTATTACTCTGGCTACCTTACTCAAAATCGTTAACCCACTGTCATCTAACACCCAATGTGATGATCTCGCTGTTGTCTCAGGTCAGTACCGTCCGTTGTAACCTTCATTTTATGTTTAGCAAATCTAAACAAACCACCTGGCTTCAGCCACGAGGTCAGTACAGTACTATAATGGTGTCACAAAGGTGTTTCTATAACCTCCTTCTAGTGAAGGATCCCTTTCTGTATGCAAATTTGAAAATAGTACAGGTTGGCCTTCGCTAATTCGGGAAGCTTGGGATCAGACCGGTTACGGATCAGCAAAAATTCCAAACCATCGAAGCCGAAGTTAAAAAAGGCAAAATTATGCATAAAATGTACCATTACTGTCTAATTTCTTCAGTACAGATAATCTTTTCTAAAATAGTTAATGTCACATGCTTATGTTTCACGGCATTACAACCACTTCCACTGCTTGCTGGTCTCTTAGGAGGCATATTTAGTGGTAAATTATAAGTATGTAAAGGTAAAATAGTGGCAACAGCCACTAAAAATGAGCCATGACACTATCCTGAACCACCATAGCTACCGGACTATTGGGTCCCGGATTAGCGGGGTCCAACCTGTACAACTTTCCCACCTATTGATCTACCACACAAAATCAAACTCCACACTAATCCTACATTTAATGCTATTTCTAATTACTCTGTATTACTGTACCATGTTTCTCTGCTCTTACTTTTCCTCTTTAAGTTTGCTAGTAACTCTACACCCACTATCAGTCATCTTCTATCTATCAGGCTGTCAAGTTCACTCTGCTCCCACCCTTAACACTCTTGTGCACCCTGATGAAATCATGATTCGATCATAATCTTCCCCAATTGGCACTGTTACATATTTGCGTCACTTAAGAGAAAAAAAATAACCAAAACTCGAGTACAGTACAGTACTGTAATTCCAATTGATGCCAGAGATTTGGTAAGTCACTCCTTGAATCAATCTCTCGCATGGTAATCCATCACTGATTAGATACTGTATATGGCAAGCTTTCCCAACATGAGGCTTGAGTGCACTTCAGTGTTAGTCTCCCAACAGTCACCCCAGAATGTACTGTGCACTTTCCCTTTAAGTTTTCTCCTGTTGTCCCTCTCACACACTCCTGTCCTACAATCTGCAATATACTGTAGTGTTCATCTGTAAAATTGTTTATAAAGTATTTGTTAGTTCTTACAAATTGTTTATTTGTTTAGTTTTCAATATTTCTCTTATTTAAACTTGTTACTGTTGTTTGTGTGTGAACTGCTGGATATGGATTTTTTATTTTAAAATCACTTGCAGCCAAACCATATATGCTGGCAACTTTCTAAAACCACCATAACAAACCTACAGTAGACACTACCTACTAACTAACCAATGGAATAATATAATAAATAAATTAATTAAATAAATTTAAATAAAATTACAGTAATGACAAATTAAAAAGAAAGTGAATTTTTTTTTTAATTTCCAATATACTCGTCTGTTTTTTTCAATTTATCAGCTTTTTCATTACTCGTTCAGTTTCTGATTTCATTAAGTAGAGCTTAAAAATAAAATAAACATTGTTTTATAACATTTATTTTGTTTACTTGGTTTTTTGTTGGGTAAAAACATACAAGTTGTTTGTGTTGAAAACTATAATGCATATCTTCATATCATAAAAAAAAATAATAATAATAATAAAAAAAAAATAATAATAATAATAATATTATATATATATTTCATTAGCCCAATAAAGCACGCAAACTTCTACATACAATCAACACCAACTAACCTGGGAAGGGACCATCTTCATATCCTCTTAGTTATATCTTATGATATTCAAGGAATATTGTACAGTACTGTACTATATAAGGTTTGCCATTGGATTATATATTCTATGATATACAAGGAATATTGTACAGTACTGTACTATATAAGGTTTGCCGTTGGATCATATATTCTTAAGTCATAGCTGTATGATGACTGAAATATTTGTAATAACATTGTTCACACAACTTACAAGTTATATATATTAATTTCTAGGTACTATAATGAGAGTAGAAGAAGAAAGTGCCCATCACTGGCCAACCTGTAGCAGTTGCAAGAGTGATAAAGTTGTGGAGATTCAAGATGGTTCAGTAGACTGTTCAGCATGTGGACAAAAATCCACTGTTCCTGGAACAGGATACAACCTAGAAGTGTGGCTCATGTATGGCTTAAAACTTCGATTTATAGAAGTGAAGATTCAGGTATGTACTGTATACCATAGTATTTATGTTGGTATGTACAGTCTCGTTCAAGATTCTTCGAACACTGCTGGAGACCGCTGGCTACTTAAGGCCGTTAGTTTACTATAGTATGTTGTAAAAAAATATGAATGAATATAAAAGGTTATCGGTGATTGGTTACTTAGTTCCCCGTTGCTTAATTAATGGTTGGGCTTTGTTGTTTCGTATTATATTACACTATGTATTATAGTAAACAAACGGCCTTGAGTTGCTAGCCGTCTCCAGCAGTGTTCGAAGAATCTTGAACGAGACTGTACAGGCCCCCCAAAAAGTATCATTAGATTTTCCATCGCTACAATTTGAAATGCTAGACAAAATACTTTGAAATGATTCCCAGTGCATCATCATAAGTTGGCATACAGTACTATAGACACTTTAATGTAACAAGAAATTCATTAAGTAATATTAATGTATGTATTGTGCTAGGTAGAAGCAAGGCATATATAAACAGGTCACTGACTGATGATTACAATAACACTGAAATATACATTAAATAGAATGTTTTGGAACATCATAAATTATATTTGAGACAGACCTCAAAATGGACTTTTCACCATTACATCATTGTACTAATGGAGTTTCATTCATACTGAGTTTCACAATCTGCCTTCTCATGTTGTTCACAATATGTCTGATTAATGGAGAGTGACTAGCAAATAGTACTTGATATTACAGTGAACAGCTACAGCAATATACAATATATCTATCAACATGGTATCTGCCATGTTACTCATATGTAAATTGCATTGATTTAACGCTGAAATAAGGTTTCAAATCAAAAGAATTGCAGGCAATAGAACCCCCATCCACCTATTGTAAGTTTCAGTGTGGCACCAGTTGTTTCATGGTGCCTAACCTATCGTGATACTGTGGGTTCGCTCACCCCGGTTTCCCGTGCTATCTCAGTGTTACATATATTATACCCTCGTTGTGAAGGGTAATGATAGCACCTCTCGCGATGTCTCCCCATTTGACATGAGATCTCATTAATTTCTGGCATGACATTGGTATTCATTTATGACATCCACTCCAAGTTATGTAGTATATGATCTGAAGCCTCACAGTATACTCATTCATCCTTAAAGCTCGTGGATGTAGAAGTACCAACCGACAGAAACAGTCGAGTAACATTGCTCGGAAAGCCTCAACTCACATCAACCCTATGGCTAATGATACAATTTTTTGGGAGGACTGTACATGTATTAGAAGGCCCTAGAGGGTTACAGGGCCAGGGTCACTACTAATTGATAATATATCTGGTTTATTGCTCTATATTGTACAGTATATGTACACTCGCAACAAAAAATATCGGTGCATACTGTAGTGTGAACAATTTGAGACCAGGGACGATAGGTATTGGGAAAGGCGAGTTGTTCCAGCCGTATGTTGGCAGCCCTGATTGTCAGCCATATGGCAACACCTAGTGGAGGGGGGGGGGGGGTTTATGAGGATACACTTTCCAACCTTCCCGACATATCACAGTGTATACGTATCGTTTCGGAACTTGTCGATCTCACCCTGCACCGATACTTTTTGGTGCGAGTGTACTTGCATCAAGAGGCTCTGAGTTGTACAGTACTGATCAAGGGTAAAACACATGATGAAAAAACACTTTTTGTTAATAATCTTCATCTATGTTTCTTCCAATTACAGAAGTTCCTCCCCAATATATTGTAGTTATTTCAAATTAAAATTTTCTTCTTGACTCTTATAACCAGGGCTGGATTTAGGCATAAGTTAAACAAGCTACAGCTTAGGGCCTCACAGTCTGAAGGGGCCTCTCAAAATTTCAATTTTTTTCATTTGTTACAGTTTTATCATAATTTATATTTAAGTAATGATTTAACCTAATTAACATGCAGCTAATTATGCTATACATCTATAGGCAGACTGAGAAGAATTGTCAGTCCCCCACCCCCCTGTTTAATAAAAAATTGCAGGCCCTTTTGAAGACTGGGCCCCCTAGTTACGGGCCTAAAACATAGTTATGCATCTTGGCGGCATTCTTGCCAAGTTCAGTTGTTACATAGTCTTATTCTCTGTTAACACTTGCCAAATAGGGCCTCTACAGCTTCCCATAGCTTGGGGCCTCACCATGTCTAAATCCGGTCCTGCTTATAACGGTCTTTATTCATTTACTAAAGCATTTTGTTAATCCTACAGCTTTACCAAAGAACCATTGAAAAGCTACTACAGAGTGTATTTTCCTCTAATCAACAAGAGGTGAGTACAGACAAACTTTTCATTTGTCTATAACTTTAATAATTTAATGTTAAATAATGAAATTACATATACTGTAGCTTACATATCTTATAACTCAAAATTGATCAGTTAATGGATTTAGTTTTAGGAAAGATGACAATGAATTATATTTAACTCATCTACACCAAGTGCTTAATTGTCATCCTTTAATTCTAGGAGCTAGATGCTGCCTTGCTGGTCGGTGAATGCATAGGACCAGCAGTGTGTGTGGTACAGAATTCAAGAAAAATAAAACAAACAGGCTTCCAAATCTACACCCTCCTTGAGCTCCCATATTGAACTTTAAACCACTAAACACCTGTACTAAACACAATTTTTACAAGACTTGTTTCTTAATTTGGTTTACAAAAATTAGAATTTATTTATTTTGGTGCTATGCTTTGATTTATGAATGAAAACCCCAAGATTATGATTTTTTGAGGGTGTTTTCATATTTTTCCTAAGTAAAGTATATCTATTTATTTTGTTAATTATGTTACTACGGGTATTCTTTAACACTCACAAATATTTTGTTAATTTATGTTACTATTCTTTAACACTCACAAACAATGTTATTAAGTTCACAACTAAGCTTTCAATGTGTCATCACTGTCGTACAATTATCATATACTGTACTAACTTTCTCCTCAAACTAACTAAAGATGAGTACAGGTACAGTACTGTAAATTTTTCTCCACCACCATTGTCACTCAGCTAATTGCGTGTTTACCAATTTCTTATCATGCGCTCTCATGTATACTATATGTGGAAGTAAAAAAAAAATTAAAGTATTTTGTTTTCTCAAATTTTACATGATAATACTGTACTGGGGTATGCTTAATACAAAACAGTACTACAGTACAGTATATGTTTTTTTTTTAGTTTATCTTTACAAAGTGACCAGGTTCAGCACAGGAAGCCCAAGATACCTGTGTCACAACCTTAGTATATTATGATGCTGTGAAAAAAAAAATAATTTTTTTGTTGGTAAATTGAAAGAATGTCTTTTTTTTTCATAAATCAGGGCTGACCTGTACTGTATGTATCATAGCACATATCTCCCTACCCTAGAGCTGCTCCTCCTCACTCTCATATTTTCTACTTTACCTCATTATGGTCTTTTTAACACTTTCTTTAACCTTTGTCAATTACTGTGTCAATCTATCTCCACTGTCAGATCTTAATTGAGAAATATGCAGAATATATAAATCTTTGCCTAAAATGTTGAACCATTTGAAACTAAAGAATGCCTGTACCCGGTATATGATGCATGTGACTTGTGGAATATGGGATACTTTGTTGTACTATTATTGTTGATTAAAGTTTGGTACACAAGTGTGGCTTTAAATACTAATTATCAGATTTCCTAATTAAAGACAAAACTTTTGAGGAAATTAAACTGCACTCTGCTGAAACAGACTTTTTAGCTGGCAATATGCTTTTATACAATACCGTACAAACATATAATGAATATATAGTACAAACATTACACCAAATGCACACACACACTGTATATATGTCTACAGGTGTCAGCTCTTGACCATGTCCACATTAGTTGTGGCTCAAATGTGTATCAATCCAAAAAACCCAAAGCTAACCTTATATCATGAGGATTGGAACTCAGTACAAATGGTGCCCATTATTAATGGGTCCCATTTGAACTAGACACCAGTGTACAGTACACTCCAACGTAATCTATTAATATGTTTGTTACCCCGTACAGTACAGTATCACAGTGGGAGGAGTGACAAAAAAGTGACAAAACTTTATTTAAAAAATGTAAAGGAAGGAATGATTACTGTATTACACTTATGCAATACTGTAGTTATATTATGCTACAGTACTGTCAAATTACAGTAGACCCAGTTGTAATACTGGACTGAATTTAGGAATCTCCTGCACTTACATACAATATTTCTTTAATACATTTCACAAAGTTTGGTCACTGTCCATATCCAACATTATAGGATGACTAGTCAAATGAACCCCAGCTCTAAGGGACCACCATCTTAACAGGTCCTGTTGCTCATGATTTATGTGTACAAAACACACCAAATGATTCTGCATTATGTACACTGTATACATTAAACAATATGAAGACACGAGTGTTAACAAGCTTAAACCACAGACATATGGTTGGTCATGGTGCACCACCTGCACACATGAGAGCCGAGGCACACAATAGTATGTACATATAGTGTACACATAGGGAGAAACATTCTAATATAGACACAAAGTGTACAATGATATTTAGGATATAAGGTATACATGTAGCTGGAATACCAAGAGTATGTGCCTGCACTTGTGGGAGCAGAGGTGCACATGGGAGTAGAGGTGCACATGTGCATATAGGAGTTGAGGTGCATATGTGAACAGAGGTGCAAATGGGAGCTGGTGTGCACATGTGCATTTAGGAGTTAAGAGGTGCACATATACATATAGTAGTTGAGGTGCACGTGCATATAGGAGTTGATGTGCACATGGGAACAGAGGTGCACATATACGTATAGTAGTTGAGGTGCACATGTGCCTATAGGAGTCGAGGTGCACATGCGCATATAGTAGTTGAGGTGCACATGTGCCTACAGGAGTTGAGGTGCACATGTACATATAGTAGTTGAGGTGCACATGTGCCTATAGGAGTTGAGGTGCACATGTGCATATAGTAGTTGAGGTGTACAGGTGCACATGGGAGTTGAGGTACATATGGGAGCACAGGTGCACATGTGCATATATAAGTCAAGGTGCACATGTGCATGTGTAAAGTGAGATACACATGTATACATGGGGGGTGAGGTTACACATGGGAGGTGAGGTGCACATGGGAGGTGAGTTACACATGGGCGGTGAGGTACACATGAGAGGTGAGGTACACATGGGAGGTGAGGTACACATGGGAGGTGAGGTACACATGGGAGGTGAGGTACACAGGGGGTAAGGTACACACATGGAAGGTAAGGTACACACATGGGCAGCGAGGTACACATGAGAGGTAAGGTACACATGCGAGGTGAGGTACAGTCCCCTTCGTTCCCTAAATCATTACATTAAGATATTTGTTTCAATACTTGTTTTAATTTGATTCTATAGTATGTTTACTATTGTTAGTTTCCTTCTGTCGAATGTAAACAAACACTGGGCTGCCACACTGCACAAAACCGGACGAGCTCCTGTAAACGCACTAGTGAAGGGGACAGTAGTACACTATTACAGTGTGGTAACCTGAGAGAGAGACCGCCTGACGCCAAGTAAATCTTTCAAGCTGGATCACTGGCGGTCATCGATACTCTTGTAGCCCCTGTCAACCCTGTGGCCGCCCCTGCCACCCCTGTGGCCGCATCTGCCACCACTGTGGCTGCACCTGCCACCCCTGTGGCCGCCCCTGCCACCCATGTGGCCGCACCTGCCACCGCTATGGCTGCCCCTGCCACCACTGTGGCCGCACCTTCCACCCCTGTGGCCGCACCTGCCAATGCTGTGGCTGCCCCTGCCACCACTGTGGCCGTACTTGCTACCCCTGTGGCCGCACCTGTGGCCGTAACAGTTTACTCCTGTGGCCGCAACATTTTACTCGTGTGGCCGCACCTGTTACTCTGTGGCCGCACCTGTAACTCCTATGGCCGCCACATGTTACCCCTATGACTGCACCGGTTACCCTTGTGGCCGCACATGTTACCCCTGTGGCCACACCTGTTACCCTGTGGCCACACCTGTTACCCCTGTGGCCGCACCTGTTATCCCTGTGGCCACTCCTGTTACTCCTGTGGCCGCAACATGTTACTCCTGGGGCCGCACCTGTTACTCCTGTGGCCGCAACATGTTACTCCTGTGGCCGCACCTGTTATCCCTGTGGCCACTCCTGTTACTCCTGTGGCGCAACATGTTACTCCTGTGGCTGCACCTGTTACTCCTGTGGCCGCAACATGTTACTCCTGTGGCGCACCTGTTATCCCTGTGGCCACCCCTGTTACTCCTGTGGCCGCAACATGTTACTCCCTGTGGCTGCACCTGTTACTCCTGTGGCCGCAACATGTTACTCCTGTGGCCGCAACATGTTACTCCTGTGGCTGCACCTGTTATCCCTGTGGCCGCAACATGTTACTCCTGTGGCCGCACCTGTTATCCCTGTGGCCACTCCTGTCACTCCTGTGGCCGCAACATGCTACTCCTGTGGCCGCACCTGTTACTCCTGTGGCTGCACCTGTTACTCCTGTGGCTGCACCCGTTATTACCGTGTGGCCACTCCTGTTACTCCTGTGGCCGCACCCGTTATTACCGTGTGGCCACTCCTGTGGCCGCACATGTTACTCCTGTGGCCGCACCCGTTATTACCGTGTGGCCTGACTCGGACTTCGACACAAAGCTGGATGAAGGATTTTTCTAACATAATTAAATTCCTTCATACGAGTGTGAAGATATTTGAGACTGACGTAAGTTAAGACCTAGTGGTGGGTTCTTGAAGCCTCGAAGGATAGTGTTCTCTTTAAGTTAATAATATATAAGAAGTGTTGGGGTGGGTGTGGGGGTATGCAGGTGGGTGTGGGCGTATGCAGGTGGGTGTGGGCGTGTGCAGGTGGGTGTGGGCGTGTGTAGTAGGTGGTGTACTAAAAGGCAGACAATTGTATTTATCTTATGCCATTTTTCTTCTAACTTTGATGAGAATGTTCAGATACTTTCACGTAATATTTTTCACGAGAAGTGTGTGAGCAAAAGTGTATCTAATTGGTCGAGAGAAGCAAAGATACCATAGTAAAGTTAAAATGGCGTCGGTACTGTAATGAGCTCTAACTACGCGTAATAACCCGAACTACGCGTGCTATCCCATCTTCAAGTCCGGACATAAACGACGTATAAATGTTTGAGAATCCGTGCCTAAACTTCCGTGAGATAAAGAAAAATCCGTAATACAGTGTGTTTAGTGTCCATACTCCAGGGTTTACCCGGGTAAGACGTGGGGTGTGTGGGAATACACCATCCTCCCCTTCCCTCGCCGCCCTCACCTCCCTGCATCACCCACAATATCAATAATGGTCACCTATTTACTCTCGGAAACCCTTCCATCCAATTGCCCTCTCTCCTGAGACCAGTTTTATCGTTCACAAGTGGTCAGTATTGCACTTTTCACAGACCATTGGCCAAATCGCGTTGAAATATTGTGACATAATGGTCCTGGTGCATATAAAAGTCTCGGGGCACGAGGGTGCTTCCCCTCCACCGACTGTAAGTTTGTTTTGCCCACTAGACGACTACGTAAAACTATCCCCTATGGCATGATAGCACATGGGGCTGTGCGAGGCTGAGCACCTCCCATAACAGGGCTGCTAGCCGTGATGCGTCCCCGTTAACAGTGTATAGTTACCTGAGACTGATACCTAACTATGATATAATGAGGTCCGGGTGTCACAAGTAATGGCCCTCATATGTTACTGTGCATAAAGAGGACACACTTACTCTTGTCTCGCCCTTCCTTCACCTTTAGCACCGTTAATATCATGTAATAACTACAGGACTACATATTTATTACACTAAAAATTATGGCAAACAATAGACGCTGCCCATCTCAAGATCAAAACTGTATGAACTCAAAAGTAAAAACATGTACAGGTCGGGATTCTCACTACGAGGATTTCCATTCGATGCGACACACATGAATATTGAACACTGAAATCATACATGACAGCGAGACATATGTTTATGTGTCGTGTGTGCGAGTGCCGACCACAACATTGATACTTTATGAGGGATTTTCTATCTGGGCGTTTATGGCACTGCTATAAATCTATATTCCTGCACGTATCGTTGTTCCCCGTCACTATCTGTATACCGCCGTAACTCAGTCACCTGTTGCGGCGGTACACAAGGGGAGGGAAACACCACACGCTCGTCATCACGTCCTGACGTCATTATCAAGGAGAGAAAAATAAAGTAACAATATTTTTTTTTACCTTTCATTTATAAACTCTGGTACAAGAAGCGTTGCCTAAAACACTGCTTAAATAGCGAGAAAATAAGTTAATAAATCAAGACCATCAAAAAAACGAGCAAACGTGAAATTATTACCACGACGGAAACTACTGAAAGCATTAGAGAGAGTCCCCAAGTTGTTACGAAACATTAAGTGTACAACTGTGGTGTTTACAATACAGTATACTAACGAAATAAATATCCGTTAACTTGGCTAAATGTCTCACATAATTAAAATCCCCAACACTCAGCTACTTTTGGGTATGACAACACCATCAGTTCTCAAAAGAGGACCAATGAGACGATTATGTAGGGTGAGTCCTGTCATCCTCAGCTGTCAAGGAGGTTTAAACCTAACCATTTATAATAATGGGTAACAATAAATAAACAAATAAAATATATATATAAATAAATAAATAAATAAAATAACAAATAAATAAATGGAGAAAATCACAAAGGTAAAGTGAAAAAAATGTAATTGAAGAGATGGGTCATACTGTACATACTGAGAGTACCAAACACTACAGATTCTCTTCTTCAGTCTCCCATGAAGAAACAGGTAAGAGAGGAGGGGAGACTCTCACACACGCAACACAAACACTGAATACTGTACAATAACGTGATTTCTGACTTTTGTTTATCTTAGAAATTATGTTTTCAGAAAATTATTTGCCCTAAATTTCAATTCAATAATCATGGTATTAAAAAAAATCATATCACCTGAAGATTAGGTCAGGTTAGGTTAGGTTGAGTTAGATTAGGTTTTGGTTAGGTTGAGTGGAATAATTGGGTGTTTAATCATTACAGTAATTTTTTGGGGGGTAATGCGATGCAGGTGTAAACCCAACCCTACCTCACTAAACCTAATCTAACATTTCTCTGAAGATGAAACAAGTGACTTAATCTGACCTAACATGACCAATAATTCAACTCATGACCATCAATAAATAACACAACGAATAAAAACAAGAAGACTCGAACACAGTGAACTTAAGAATGGAGGAAACTGCAGCGAGCCTATTGGCCCATACTGGGCAGTCCCATTTACACCCAGCCCCTATTGCTCATAAGAACATAAGGAGTCTGCAATAGGCCGGTTGGCCTGTGCATGGCAGCTCCTGTCGAGAGTTACTACCACTCTCTATCATCCATGAATCTATCCAGTCTCCTTTTGAAACTTTCCAGCGTTCCAGCACTTACTACATAGTTGCTAAGCTTGTTCCACTCGTCCACCACCCTATTTGTGAACCAGTTCCTTCCTATCTCCCTCCTAAACCTAAACTCATATATCCATTCAACCTATGTTTGAAGCTATCCAGCGTATTCGAGTTAATGATGATGTTTGGTAACTTGTTCCAGTCGTCCACTACTCTATTTCCAAACCAGTGTTTACCAATCTCGCGCATAAATCTAAATTTGTCTAATTCAAAGCCATTGCTACGAGTTCGCCCCTGGTTGGATAGTTTGAGTACCTTTGTTATATCACCTTTGTTTAGCCCTGTCTTCCATTTATACACCTCTATCATATCGCCCCTCACTCTACGTCTCTCGAGGGAGTGCAAATTAAGATGCTTTAACTTATCTCTGTACTAAAGGTTCCTAATGCCCGGGATTAGTCTTGTCATCCTCCTCTGAATTCTTTCCAAGGATTCTATATCCATTCTGTAATACAGAGACCAGAATTGATTTGAGTAATCCAAGTGAGGTCTCACAAGTGCAAGATATAGTTTTAGGATAACCTCGCTAGTCTTGCAACTAGCATTCCTTTGTATGAACCCAAGTACTTTGTTAGCACTGTTTCGAGCAAATACGCATTGTTGTCTTGGTTTAAGATTCCTACTTATCATTCCCTACAAATCTTTCCCACAGTCGGATTTCTCTATAACAACGTTGTTCATCGGATATCTGGTTTCTCTGTTTACATCTCCTAGGTTAAGTACTTCATATTTTTCCACATTAAATTTCATCTGCCATTTTTCATTCCATGCAAAAAAAAAAAAAAAGTTTAGATCTTTCTGTAGTTTCGCGGAGTTTTCGTCAGATTTAATTACACGCCCTATTTTAGTGTCATCAGCAAATTTACTTATGTTTAAACCTATATCTATGTCGTTAATGTATATAATAAATAGTAAAGGTCCAAGTAACGAGCCTTTGGGGTACTCCACTAGTGACGTTACCCTAATCGGATTTAGTGCTATTAATGCGGACTCTTGTTTCCTGTCCTGTAACCACGCCGTAATCCAATTTAGAATATCTCCTCCAATTCCATGAGCCTCAACTTTCCGTATTAGCCTTTCGCGGGGGACTCAGTCGAAGGTTTTGCTAAAGTCGATGTAAACCACTAGTTCGAACACAGTTGAAAAGAATGTTAATAGATTAGTCAGACATGAACGCCCACTTGTGAAGCCATGTTGGGAATCATTGAGCAATTTAAGTTCCTCGGGGTGATTTCGAATTGTACGAACAACGAGACCAGGGCACTGTACCTTTAAGAACAACGAGACATGGGCATTGTACCTGTAAGAACAACAGGACCTGGGTACTGTACCTGTAAGAACAACGAGACCAGGGCACTGTACCTGTAAGAAAAACGAGACCAGAGCACTGTACCTGTAAGAACAACGAGACATGGGCACTGTACCTGTAAGAAAAACGAGACCTAGGCATTGTACCTGTAA